ACCTTCAATCCCCCACAGACCCATGAGTGCAGCAGTGTCTGCTCTGGTCTCCTGCCTCCAGTGGTGAAAGTGAGGAAGGGAGACCCCCTGTATGCCTCCCACCGTCGTGTTTCTTCTTCAGGTTCAGCTCTATGAGCAGGGATGAGGCTGTCTAGCACAGCCTAGAATTCCACTGCCAACCCTCAGACTCAACACCAGATAGGTGTTCAGTAAACATTTGCTATTGAAGACATGCTCCTCACTACACAGGCCGAGTAGTACTGGATCAGGATGGGGCCTGAACTGGGAGAGAGTCAGCTGTGCCCGTGCTCCTCTCTCTGCCCTGAGCCTGAGAGCTGAGGGGGCCCCACCAGGGAGAGAGCATCCATGGGGAGAGGGGACACAGGCAGCCTCATCCTGTGTGTGAGAGACTAGGCAGACCTGCAAATCCTTGTTTATTGAAGTGGAAGGAAAAGCAAAATAAAATTCACAATGAACATTTCTGCATCATCAGAAAGGAAGCAGTGCCAAAAAAACTCAAGGTGCAAATATTTTGTAAAAATTAATTTCTGCTCAATAATGAAGAAAATTTCATAAAGTGCCTGTTGTGTGATTTAATCAAAATTGTTTAAAAATAACAAAACTTACAGAGAAAATAATATTTCAAGAGGTGGTATCATTGTAAATGCAAAATTAAAATAGAGCTTTTTTCCCCCAGGAAAATTCATTGACTACTCTTGATTAAATAATGACTTTAGATTTTCACTAATCCATTTAAACATTTTGGTGTATTAATATCTCAAAATAACGCAACCCCACTGTAACACACAGAGAGCACACCAAACTGACGGCCAGGATGTGCTCTCTGTCCATAGCAACTCCCCAGACTCAAGTGAGATAAGAGTCTGGTGCATAGAATTCTCAAAGTTTTTTGGCTATATAAATTTTATTTTTTGATCTCATTATCTGCTTATTTTGTTTTATGTTATTTTGGTAAATAGAATCAATGTTTTTCTGTTTTCATTTTTTTTGTTTTACTTTTGGCTGGAGGTGATCTTTCTGGCAAAATCATGTAGAGTGGACATTTTTCCAGATAAAAGCATATAAATCGTTCTCGTTTTTAACCTCCCCACCCCTGCCCAGAGCATTGGTTCTTGAGTATGAACCACATTCTTTTCAAAACTCTCTAATAGGAAAGATTGATCCTAATAGCTACACATGTCACGTTCCCCTGGGCCCAGGCTCTGTTCACAATGATTCAGAGGTTTGAGGAAAATGCTTCAAAGAATGTCATTTGTGATGACTTCCTGAAGAAAAGACATGGACTTTTTCCCAGATCTGTCCTCAGGAGTGCTCCTCACAGCCCTTCTCCTTTCCCAACCTCTCTGGTCCCTTAGTTCCTAAGGACCCTCGAGTTCCTGACTCTTCCAGCCGCAGGAGTCCCCACCCCTTCTCCTCCCTGGGCTTCTCCTCATTCCCCAGGGAGCTACCAAGTGTGCGCCTTCATCCTCGAAACTCTCACCCCCGTGTGTCCTCTGTGCACATCTAGTGAGGGGTCAGGCAGGAGGAGAGGGACCTGGATTCCTGAGCAGCCTGGGAAGTGACTTCATGGCTGACCTGTCCCTGTTCTCAGCTAATGACTGTTTCCCTTCATGGAGGGTTTGCATATGAGGCCCCTTCCCCTGAGGACTCCTTGCAAAGGGGGTGAATTCTGTCTCTGATTCCTGCTGAGGAGGCCCAAGCAGACAACGACAGACTGAAATGAGGTGGGAGGCTGCCCCTGAGGAGGGCCTCGCTCTGCCCTTGGGCAGGGAATGGCAGTGATCAAAGCAGTGGGGGAGGCAGGAGCCTCTGGCAGGGTCACCTGTCCTCTGGTCACAGATATGATGGACCTGGGCCTGGGGCAGCAGGGGCGCTGTAGGCTTGCTGCCAAGGGATCTTTGAGAGCTGGGAAACCAGACACCTGTCCCCTGGTCTCTGCTCACTGCCCCCTGGGCCCAGGAGCTGGATGTCTCGGGGTTCCTGGTGATTCTCAGCCCAGTCTCAGCCCAGGTCTACCCCTCCCAGAAATAATGATCTCAGGACATTGTGTGTGTGGTGGGAGAGGCAAACATGAACCGAGGAGGGGTTTGGTTGGCCAGGAGAAGAGGAGCAAATTTGTATGAAGGGCTCTATTCTCTGGGGATTGAGGAGGATGAGAGAGACCTGCAGCATTTCCATCTCAGCAGAGCTCTGGGGCGTCTGCACCACGGCCTGGATTCCACTCTCCTCCCCTTCCTCCTGCACTGCTCAGGTCAGGACAGTCCTGATTCCCCAGCCCACTAAACTACCTCCCAACCACATGGAGGAAATGTCTCTCCCTCTTTCCCTCCCTCCACCATAATGGCTGTTTGTGTTTCCAGACTCAGTCAGCCTGTGTGACTCAGTTACTCTCTGCGTCTGCCTCCCTGGGAGCTTTGGCCATGCTCAGCTGCACCCTGAGCAGTGAGCAGAGCACCTTCTACATCGGATGGAATCAACAGCACCCTAGGAAGACCCCTCAGGATGTGACATGCCTGAAGAGTGAAGGAAGCCACAGCAAGGGGGATGGAATTCCTGATCATTTCTGGGGCTCCAGCTCTGGGGCTGACCGCTACTCAACCATCCCCACCAGCCAGTCTGTGGAGCATCTCACAGCATTGCTGTGTCATTTGTTGAAGCAAAGTGATCCAGATGAATGGGGAAGTGGGATGATCCTGTTTCTTCTGACCTGCTACCGACACTGTCACATGGCTCCCAGAAAGAGTGTCTGGTGTCCTGACGATCAAAAGTGTTGGATTTTTTCTTCTTGTTTCTCCAGGGAAGAGCAAGGCATATAGCTTCCTACCATGAGCTCCCCAGGCAGCAGGCGGCTGGAAAGCTGCTACAGAGTGACCTGGTCCTGCAGTAATGGTGCAAATGTAGAAAGCAAACCTGGTGCACCCTGCTGTCTCGTGCGGTGTCATTCCCTAGGGGAGCAGGAATACTCTCCTCTCCAGGCGGAAACCCCAGGATGACGCCCCTCACTCCTGCCTCACTGGAGTTCATTGGAGTGACCACCTTAGAGGTAACTCACTGATCTTCTGGACCAAGGATTTTAGAACTCTCGCAATAAACTCGAAAGCACATGCTAATTTAAGGAGGAGAGAAAGAGACAGAGGCAGAGAGACATAGGAACAGTAAGAATGGTGGGAGTAAATGCACTTGACTCTTTCTTATATCTTGAGACTTTTATCTCAGGTGTCCAGGACGTGGGTTTGGTGAGTGAGAGAGAAGGAGGAGGGACCGACCCCATCACAGTGAAGAAAAGAGGTGCTAATCCAGAAAAATGAGGGAGAAATGAGAAAGATGCATTAAGGCCACCTTGACACCCCTGAGACTGAAAGGCAGGACTCTGTGACCTGTTGAAAAGCACGCACTCCAGCCTCAGAGGCAGCCGGTGCAGCCGGAATCCTGCCTGCCCTTTCCTCCCCTCGCTCATCCACGGCCCGGCTCAGTGCTCACTGGGACCCACAGGGGGTGACTTCCTACCGCCCCTGGGGCCTGGGGACAGATGGTGCCCAAGGGACTGAGAGAGCCCTAGTTCCCTTGGAGCTTGGGTGACAAAAGACACACAGACTTGGGACAGCTCTGTCTGCACTGTGAGTCCTCAACAGGCCTGGGTGTGTCCACCATGGCCTGGTCACTTCTCCTCACCTTCCACACTAACTGCCCAGATGTCATATGACACATGTGTGACCAAAATGGCTACATCAAAAGTACATTAATAATCGCTATTTTCACATAAAAAGAGAAACAATCCATTAAAATGGGCAAAAGATCTGAACAAACAATTCACAAAGGAAAATAAATAATAAAAAATTTTAAAAAGTGCTTGGCCTTATAAGTCATCAGCAAAAGGGAAATTCCAACTATAATGAGACCTGGACCAAAAGGTGGCCCATAGTGAGCCAATTAGCACAATCAGAGCTGCCTCGGCTTAATGGAGAGGAAGGAATATGCACCTACAGAAATTATGCACCTACTTGGGGCCGGCCTGGTGGCGCAGTGGTTGAATTTGCACCTTCCAATTTGACGTCCCTGGGTTCGCTGATTTGGATCCTGGGTGTGGACATGGCACCTCTCAGCAAGCCATGCTGTGGCAGGGGTCCCACATATAAAGTAGCAGAAGATGGGCACGGGTCTTAGCTCAGGGCCAGTCTTCCTCAGCAACAAGAGGAGGATTGGCAGCAGATGTTAGCTCAGGGTTAATATTCCTCAAAAAAAAAAAAAAAACAACAACAACGAAAAAGAAACTATGCACCTACAGAAACTGATGGAATGAGAAAGTCTAACAAACCAAATGTTGACAGGGATGTGGGGCCAGAGGAACTCACCTATATTACTCATTTGGAATGTGAGATGCTTTGAAAACTTTTGCCAATTTCTGATAAATTGAAATCTAAACATTTAGTTTGACTCAGCTTTTCCAGTTTTATATATTTAAGCAAAACAAAAAAGAAAGAAAGAAAACAATGTCATAAAGGGAAATATGTAAGAATGCTCACGCTGGAAAAGACCTTTTAGTTGCAACACCAAAAGCTCCAACCAAAAAAAGAAAAACCAAAAAAACAAATTGATAATTTGGAATTCATCAAAAATGAAATACCCTGCACTTTGAAAGTCACTGCTAATAGAAGGACAAGACAGCCATCGACTGGGAGAATATGCATGCAAATCACTTACCTAATAAAGGACTTGTGTGGATAATATGTTGCAGAATTCTTTCCATTCAATAATTACAGGAGAGTTCAATTTAAAATTAGGAAAGATATTTCAACAGACACTGCACCAAAGATGATACATGATAGCAAATAAGCTCATGAAAAATTTTTCAACATCATTATATATTATGGAAATGCAAATTAAAATGGAAATTATATGCCACTAAACCTGCATGAGAAGGGACAAAAGTACAATACTGAGAGGAGGCGGCACAGCTACTCTCACACGGCTGGTGGGAGCACGGAATCGACAAACTAGTTAGGAAAACAGTTGAGCAGTTTCTAAAAGGGGTAAATATATAGCTTCTTAAGACCCAGCTGCTCTGTTTCCCCAAGAAAAAATAAAGTGCATACTCATTCAAAGACTTGTACACAAATACTCAGCAGGTTTATTCATTTATAACATAAAGTTACATATTAAATTTTATTTTAACTACTTAATATATGAAATTCACATATTAAATAAATGCAAACAAATAAATTTACTTCTAACATAAATTACGGCTTTATGTATAAATAGCCCAAAGTGTAAAAGACCCAAACGCTCATGAACAGGCGGATGGAGAAGCAGACTGCGGGCCGTCCCTACTGTGTGCCCAGGAATGGCCTGTGGATAACTGTGAAAACAGGGATGGGTGTCAAAATACATATGCTAAATGAAGGAAGCCAGACAAGTAAAGCTGGAAAACCAGAACAAAGATTTGAATTATATAAAATTCTACACAATGGACATTAATTTATAAAGACAAAAGCAGATCAGCAATCACCTAGGGATTGGGGAGGGGATGGCGGGATGGAGTGGTTTCAAACTGGTGATGTCAGCATAATGACAGATACAGTCATCGCCTTGACGATGGTGATGGATTCCCCGGTGTGTTCATATATTCATGAGAGCTTGCCAAATCACACACTTTAAAATGGCAGTTGATTATTTGAAAATTAAACCTCACTAAAGCTGTCATAAATACATCTCAATCCCTTCTTTGTGAAAGAAAAAGTTCTTTCTAATCGGTCTCCAGCTCTCCTCAGAGCCACAGCTTCAGTGCCATGGACTACTGCAAAGGTCCCCTGTATGGTTTGCCACCCAACCACCAACCTAGTCTACTTAATGTCCCTGAGTATTTGCAAACACTGTCGATCTTCCAAGAATCAAGCACATTTCCTAGGAACAGTTATTGCTTTGTTTGTCCACCAGCAGAACCCCGGTCTCCATTCAGACCCAGGGCTCCAGTGGCTCCTTCATGTGGCCCCTGTGGAAGGAGCTGCTCGGGTCTTGCTCCCAGAGCCCTCTGCCTCCTCACTCACTGCAGACTCAGTCTCACTGTCCTGTGGTCAGATTTCCACATCTCTTCCTCCTAGCAGGCCAGGAAGCACACAGTTAAACAGGTTGTTTATCAATATCACTTACCTGGGGCAGAGCACGGGGTGTGGCGCATGGATGTTTGTGGACCCACAGTGACCAGGCTGTCAAGTCAGTGTCCCTGACATTATTTCCAACCTGAGACTGAAGTTAGAACAGTGAGCAGCAGGGGGCGCTGTGGGTCTTCCCCAAGGTTGCACCTTGGGTGCCCCCTGCTGTGTAATCTCTCAAACCCTCCAGGGCTGGGACATTGGTGCTTGTGTTTGCTGAGGGGTCTCAGTAGCTGTGTCCTCTCTGCTCACAGGTCTGGGTAAGGTCCCACAGCTGCTTCCTCCCTGGTCCCTCTGATGGGGCAAACTCTGAACTCACCCATCAGCTCCTCCATCTAAGGAATCAAGCTCAGACTCAGCTGGTTCTCAGGACAAAAGTGGGATCATCATTAGGGGGAACAAATTTATGTGAGCAGCCCTTTCTCTTTCATGTCAATGGAGAAGAGCAAAGATTTGGGGGCCGCCCAGCCCTGATCTGGGGCCCCAGCAGGCTGTGTGCACCACAGCCGGGACTCCTCTCCTCCTCATACCTCTCTCTCCCTGCACAGGGACAATCTGCAGTGTCCAGAGTCAGCTCCTGAGCCTGTGTCAGCCTCCTGTGGCTGAGACCCTCCAGCTGCTTAACCTTAGTCTCTGCCTCATCACCCACGGGTGTCTGTGTCTGCAGGTTCCCTCTCCCGGCCAGTGCTGACTCAGCCACCTTGCCTCTGCATCACCTGGAGCATATGCCAGACTCACCTGCACTGCCAGCAGTGACATCAGTGTTGGTGGATACAGGATATTCTGGACCAGCCAAAGCCAGGGAGCCCCCAGGTATCTCTTGCTCTGCCACACAGACTCAAATGAGCATCAGGGCCCAGGATCCCCAGCCACTTCTCTGGATCCAAAGATGACACAACTAACTCTGGTGTTCTGCTCGCCTCCGGGCTGCGACCTGATGACGAGGCTCACTATTACTGTAACACATGGCCTGGCGTCACTAATGTTCACATGTGCTCCAGACCCCCGAGGACGTGAGACACAAACCGCACCCCCCCACTCTCCTGGCCTGGTGCGCTCGCCCCCCTGGTGGCTCAGGAGATGGCTTCTGCTGTCACATCTTAGACAAGACCTGATTTTCCTAGAACCAGAACAGTTGACAAAGTCATACCCTTTTCTTCATATCATGAAGAATATCATTGCTAATATATTCTTATCCAACTCATGTTTGCATAGACAAAAATTGCTTGTTGAGAGAGAAGATTCTCTCAGTGGAGACATTTGAGGAGGCCAAAAGAGATCGAGTCTGCCCATGCCCAGCGCAGGGTCAAGGAGCGACTGCGATATGCTTCTGGTCTGACTGTCTCAGTTTGGATTTTGTGATAAAATGCCAAGATGCAGAAATTAATTGTATTCTATATAACAGTAATGAACCTTCAATTTTTAAAAGAAAAACAATAACATACAATATTACTAATATTTAATGAAACACGTGGATATATCTGAGAAAAATTGCAGATCTTGTATACTGAAAATTACAAAACCTTTCAAGAGAAATTTAAAAAATAAATGAATGAATAGATATTCCTAGTTTCTGGGTCAAAAAACTGACTGTCACTAAGATAACAGTTCTTCCCGAAATGATCCAAAGACTCGCTGCAAGGTCTTCAGGTAAAATGTAATCATGATGAACCATGAGGGAGATGATCTCAGCAAAGAAAGAAAATGCTAAGAGCAGACATAAATGGCGCACAGCCCTGGGATGCTCCTTCTCTCCCTCCCGGGGAGCCGATCCATCTGGGAAGGGAGGGGTGGAGCATCATCTTTGAACTCCAGGAACAGAGAGGTTGTTTTCGATGATCAAGGTGAGGCAAGGAGAGCAGCGTTAGTCCCAGAAGAGTCAGAGGCCAGGTGGGGAACCTTCTCTGAGGGCTGACGGGCAGAGGGTGGGTGCAGCAGGCCAGGGCTGGATGCCACTGGGCCCTGAGCCCGTGCTGGCACCCACCATGTGCGCCGGGGGTGATGGGTTTCTTGTTGTCGCCTCACCACAAGGAGCACCTTCTGATCTGTCACCTGTGCATGAGGATTGTGACCCAGCGGCTCTAAAGAAGAAGGTGCTCCCAGGGTCCCTGACGTCATTTCCAAGGCTCAGAAGTGGAACCTGCATCCATGAATCCTGGACAGGAAACCCAAAGGCTCTTCTCACAAAATCATGGATTACTGGTGATAGCTGCCTGGCCTGTCGCAGAAAGAGTGTGAATCCGTCCTTCAACAAATGGGGCGCCGACAGCCTGGTCTCGTGGGGTTGTGTACAGTGCACAACCATCCAGGAATATCTGGACCTCTGCTTCCCTGTGACCATGACCTCCTGAGGTCTGTGTAGGGCCCAGAGCACAGGCTGCCCTTGTGCCACCGCGTATCACAGATTGTTCCACAGGACAGGACCCTGCAAAGGGCCAGAATGAGCGAAGAGCAGGCAGAGATTTGGATGAAGGGCTGTGTACGACTTATGGTTCTCCTGAGCACAGAATCAGTAGGATGTGTCTCTCTCTCTCTTTATCCATGTATCTATGTATGTATCTGACTATCGTCTATCCATCTACCTATGTGTGTATGTATGTGTGTATCTATCTATGGAAATTTATTTTAAGGAATTTTTTCACATGATTATAGAGACTGGCAAGTCCAAAATGTGCAGAAGGCTGGCAGGCTAGAGACCCAGGGAAGGAAGAGTAGAAGTTACAGTTGGGTTCTGAAGGCAGTCGGCTGGCAGAATTCCCTCTTCCTAGGGGAGGTCAGTCTTTTCTCTATCAAGTCCTTCAACTGATTGGATGAGGCCCACCCACATTATGGATAGTAATCAATTTCAATCAATGTTTACTGATTTAATTATTAATCGCTTTTAAAACATGCATTCACAGAAACTCTTAGAGTAATGTACGACCAAATATCTGTGTCCTGACCGAATATCATGGCATATGTAAGCTGACACATAACATGAACCTCCACAGGCCCCTCCCTTCCCTCTGGGTGTGGAGGAGGATGAGAGATGTGAGGTAGCTGTGCCTTAGCTTTGGGGCCTTAAGGGGCAGGGTTCAGGTTGTCCTCACCATGTCTTGGGTCCCCCTGTTCCTCACTGACCTTGAACACCACACCTGTAATGGCTCCCTGACACACAGGCACACTGCCCAGGGCTGCCCTGCTCCCAGCAGCGTGGACCCGCCCTGTGCGCACAGGACTCTGCTTCTCTCCCTGCTGAGCTGGCCTCCTGCGGGGACTGGGATTCCCGGATGGAAAGCCAAGATCTGCTGCCCCGGAAAAAAGCGCTGGATAGAATGGAGTGATTTTGACACATCAGCCCCTGGGATATCCAGTTAAAGCTCCAGACCCATCGGAACAGCCACACTCTCACAACCTCAGTTCTCTTCTCGGTCTCCACATGGCCCTCGGCCAACAGCTCTGGTTTCCAAGTCGATGGTGAAGCTTAGCATCACTAACCAGCACAACCCAGATGCCACAGTGCTCTTCCAGTGTGGGAGGGCTGGGGACCGAGAGTCACACTCCTTGGGCAGCAAGAGTCAACCCCCCTTCAGTGCTAACGAGGGGCTGACTTTGTAGCATTATTATTAAATTTGCAGAGTGTCTCCTCACCTGATCCGTGAAGACATGAAACACGAGTTGGGAGCTCCTCCCCTCACAGTCTCCACAGCCAGAGCTTTCTTCTCAGTCAATGCTCAGGTTTTGTGGCTCCCATACTGGGCGACTCTGTTATCTTTGCAATTTCCCCCTCACTTATCATCCTCTCTGGCAATCCCAAACGTCTGCTGTGAATCCTCAAGTGAGTCAGGCTGTGGACAACATGAGCAGGGACCCCAAACCTCCCCTTCTCCATCTTTTATGTGTTTCAGGCTCCTGCTTCCAAGCTGTGCTCACACATCCATCTGTGGTGTCGGGTCAGGTCTCAGGAACAGGATCATCCACAGCAGAGAAGGCAGCACCTTGAGATGATCAGTGTGGCCTGGCGACAACAGCATCCAGGCAGAAGCCCTAGAAACGTGGACCCAGGTGTTCTTTTCTCACAGCATCTGAGACAGACCCTCTGGCTTCAGGTCTGGCAGGAAAGCTTCCTGAGGGTCTCTTAGATCCTGTCCTAGGACGGGGTTGGCCACTGGGACCAGACATGAGATGATCTTGACACAGTGTCCAGATCTGTGAGGAATCACGATGCAGCCCCTCCCCCTCCCCCTGTGAGCCCGTCACTCTCTGGTCACTTCCTGCATCTGAGTCTACATCCGGGTGACTCTGCCGTTCATCTGCTGCCATCCCTGAATGTCTGGAGACTTTGTGGGAGCTGCGGCTCTGAGGATGGCTGCGCCATTCGTGACAGCCTGTTCTCACCCTCATCACTGCTGCACAGACAGAAGCTTTCTTTTCAGGGCACAAATTCTCTCTAGATAATTGATGGAAGAGTCAACAGAAGGGTGATGCCAATGTGTCCAGCCGAGTTAAGAACCTGCCAGTATCTGACCACAAGGAACCCATGTAATCCAATCCCAGATCTTTGTCAGAAACCCAAAATATGCCTCTATTTTCCTGTTTTACCCAATCCCAGGATGGTGGCCCTCTTCCTGTCCTCTTGAGGCCAGGAGCAGTAACTTCCATCCTGATCCCCTGGGCCTGACCCTCAGCTCTGTGCATCTTGCTCCCTGGAGGCTCCCTGCCCTCAGACCCCAGGCTCCCTTGTGAGGACTGACCTTCCTGCATGAACAGGAACCCAGGGTCAAGGCTGCTCCGAGAGTCACAGGACCCACTTGGGCGGAGGGAAAGAGGGTACCTTGACGCCTCTGTGTCCACATCCTCGGGACGGTTTGTGTCCCTGACCTCAGGACTGCGTCAGGACTGCAAACGTGTGTTTCTCTAGCCAGATCAGGAGAAATCGGTGAGAGTTTATCAAGGCAAAGAAGAGACCACTGTTCATCATTTATCACTCAATGAAGGCACAGGCCTTAGGTCTGTCAGTTCCCTGGAAGATTCTGGAAATGGAAAAGAAGACTCCACAGCTGGTGTTGGAAATCAAACACAGAATTAGTGGTTGTAAAGGTTTACCATAAGCCAAGAGAGACAGAAGTGGGACTCAATCGTGAGAGTGAAATGAGTGGATTTGTTTCAAAACCATCTTTTTTTGTCTCCTTTCTCATTACAAAGGTTTAAGTAGAAAAACACAGATGACGTTTTCAATAAATGCTTAAGAAGATGACAATTAAATTCATCTCCATGCCTGCCTTTGTAAAAATAAATATAGAAATAAAGCAATAAGGACTACTTCCTCAATGGCTTAAGGATGGTGTATCTTTAAACCAGAGAAAAGCATTATCCCAGAACAGAGAAGACTAGAATTGTTCCATTTCGGTCTTGGACCGCACGTGATGACTGCCGACACAGCTCTTCTGAAAGGTTTACCCTGAGATTTGTGTCAAGTCAAGAATAGAAAAAAAGAGAAATTATTTAAATATGAAGAGTTAGATTTTAATTATGAAAGCTATAAGTATGTACCCAGAAGTCTAGAGATTGTACTGAAAATTAATTAGGATGAATGAAAAAATTATCTGAGTCACAATGAATAAAATAGTATCTCATGTTAAAAGTATGTAATCTAAAATGTAGTTCAAAATGTATATGATTCTGTTTCCAGTATAAAAAATTAAAAATTTGACCATATCTGTAGAAAAACAACTACAAATTTCAGCACGTAATAAGATAAAAAATTGAACAAATGGTGGAACATTTCCTTATGTGAAAACAGAGTAAAAATGTCAGCAGTGAGTAGACAGGTTATATGGGCACATTTCTTATTTACGTTATGACTTATTTGTACGTGTTTCCCCTTGAGAAAGTGTGGGTTAGCGTAAGCAGAGGTCACGGTGCACGTGACACGCCACCACTGCAGAGCCTGACGTGGACCAGGCACAGTGACCCCGTGTGCTGCCCACTAACTGGCATTTGCTGCTAACACATCCCTCCCTCTTATATCTGAGGGGCCACACTGGAGCAGCACCCACTGTGGGGACAATGACATCCTCCCTTCAGCACTTCCTTGTTTATGTTATTCTGGAGCCTCTGCCCAAAGGGAGCGAGGAGTGAGGCTGAGCTTTACAGAAAGGAGAGGCTGGAGAGAAAACAGAGTGAAAGAGAGACAGAGACCAAATTTCTTGGGTCCCAAACTGTGAGTGCACAGGGTCAGGTCTGTGGTGCCTTTGTGTTTTTATTCCCTGCGCTGGGGATGGGTTATGACACCCCACCTCAGCCCAGCAGTGGAATCAGTATGGGGACAGTGGAGACAGTTGTGGATGGTCCTCAGCGAGAAGGCCACAGCAGTGAATTCTGAGCTGAATGTGACCAAGAGGCTGCAGCCTGAGCAAGGCCTGGGTGTGGCCCCTTCCTGTGGGGAGTGAGAGGCAGAAGCTGAGCCAGGGGTGGAGGCAGGGGATCTCTGTCTCAGGGGCTCCTAACCCGTCAAGTCAGGCAGAGAGGAATAAGGGCTGGGGCAGCAGGAGGCGCTGTGGGCCAGTCGCTGGAGGTTCCATGGGGTGATAGCAGCTAGGAAAACAGCCACCACCTGAGTCTGTGACCCATGTCCAGTGACCTCCATGCCAGGGTCCCAGAGCCTCAGGGCCTCCACCCAGCCCACTTCTCCCTCGGTCAGACGCCGCATGTTTTTTGGAGGGAAGGAAGGGGATTTAGGGAAGAGGTTTGGAGGCTGGTCCTCGGGGACTGGGTGAGATGTGAGTGAGCTGTACCTCCTGAATGATGTTCTATGGACACGCGTGGGGGGTTGAGGTCCTGAGCTCATCCTTGTGATGGAAATATAGACAACAGCCTTCCTGCCTTGTTCAGTGGTGACAGGAAGGTTGTAGTTGTCAAGTGCGTCATCTCAATGGACTTCCCTCCTTCTCTGAGATTTATCTGAGTTGTCCAATGTCCATGATCTCACATGTCCCTAGGCTGATATCCCACATGGGTCAAAAATGTCCCTGCAGTCCCAGGCATCACACCCACACAATAAACTCTCCTGAATGAGAGAGATTGCCCTCCCTGATCCATGGAACAGGAATCTCAGACTTCATGAGGACGGGACCGGAAGAGATACCTCACACTGTCTCCCCTGACTCCATCATGGTGAGCAGGGAGGGGATTGTCTGATTGGTTTGGAAAATGAAAGGCCTGTCCCTGGGGCTGGAGCTGGGGCAAATCACAGGCTCACCACATGACTGGGAGATTTGGGGTCGGAGAGGAGAGGAAAGGACAGAAGGTTTCCCTCAGTGGTCCCAGCATGTGCATCATCTGCTCTCCACCCTCGTCATTAGTTCATGTTGGGTCAACTACTGTGCACACTAGGAGCTGGGCAGGGGACACAGGCCAGGGGCACCTGTCTCATAAGACTCTGCTTCTGGTGCCCTGGTCTTTCTAACGTTCTGCAAAGGGTCAGTCTCAGGTGAAATGACCCCAACTCCAATCAGGGAGGCCCCAGGCTGAAATTCAATACTCTCTGGAGAGGGAGAAAGGGGCAAAACTCCCTCATGAGGATGTCCTCTTCCCAGAGGGAATGAGAAGGGCGATTACATCTCAAGAACCCACACTAGTGGCCATTGCCTGCCATCACCTGGCTCCTCCCCTGCAAGTGCCTCCTCTCTCAGGTGAGGACCTGTCCTAGAGGCCCAGCTCATGGATGTCTAGACACACACTCCAGTCCAGATCCCTTCTGTCATGTTCCCCAAGCAAGTGATTCCTCAGGTCACTGAGGGCTCATTTCAGAGATTCTCCCCCTCACAGGGCCCAGGGCTCAGGGGCTCTGTCCCAGTTACTTTCCTCTTCTGTATCCTGGAGCTTGGATCAGAGTTAGCCCGACTCAGAAAAGTGAATGGTTCACTCTCATACAAGTAGAGAATGAGCCATGTGAAATATTCTATTCAACTCATACATTAGTGAGGAGACCAGTGAATGGTAAGGATTGGCCCAAGAGAAGAGTGTAGCAAAAATCAAAGTACTTCCATTCCACCAGGAATAGGACCTCTGAAGCAAAGGTTTGGAGTGTTGGAGACACGCTGCTGAATCTCTAACAAGGAAGACATCACATAAGAGGAAAAGAATCCGTGTCTTTCACAGAAAGGGACACGCCTCCATGGGGGCCAGTCACTGCTCTGCACTTGATCCTGATCTAAGAGGAGTTTAAGAGACAACCCCTCAGTCCTGACCACTGAACAGCTAAAGGAGTTGTGGACAGACTCACTCCTGAAGAGTCTGAGTAGAGACTGACCTGAGGTGATGCAGAGGGTACACAAGGGGTCACCTGGCCTGACCCAAAGGCGGCGGACAGTGGACAGAGCAGTGGGTTGCAGGAACTGTCTCTGATGGGTGTAGGTCACCCTGTGACACAACTGTGGGTCTGGGCCTGAACACGAGAGGGCGCTCAGTGCACATTCCTGAGGTTCCTATGGGTGATCACAGCTGGGACCAGCCACCTGGCACTGCCTTGTGCCCTCTGCTCAGGGCTCACGGCTGTGAACGCCCCACGCCCTGGCCATCCTTAGTCAGTGGGTCCTGACCCAAGGGCCAGGGAGAGATCAGAAAGCTGGGGGTCACATTTGCATGAGTGGGCCCTCCCTCTCTCAGAGTATGGAGAAGGGATGGGAGAGATTTGGGGGAAGCTCTGCTTCGGCTGTGGGGCCACAGAAGGCGGGACTCGGAGATGATCTCCACCGTGGCCTGGTCCCCTCTCCTCCTCACCCTCATCGCTCTCTGCACAGGTGACTAGATATGGGGATGAGGGAAGGGGCCCTGGGAAGATGCGTGGGACCCTGCTTTCTCCTCTTGTCTCTAGACTCCAGAATCACCATCTCTGTGTCTCTCTCACTTCCAGGATCCTTGGCCCAGTCTGTGGCTCAGCCCGCCTCAGTGTCTGGGACCCTGGGCCAGACAGTCACCATCTATTGCACTGGAAGCAGCTCCAACATCGGGCGTGGTTATGTGGGCTGGTACCAACAGATCCCAGAAACGGGCCCCAAAACCGCCATCTATGCTACTAACAAATGACCCTCAGGGGTCCCAGACCGATTCTCTGTCTCCGAGTCTGGCAACACAGCCACCCTGACCAGGGGCACTGATGAGCATTTGTCTTGTGCAGTTCCCGGATGGGCCGGACTGCTCCTGGACTGTGGCTAAGAGGGGCTGGAACTGGATCACGGGCTGCTTCAGGGTTCACAGCCAGGGACATGGTTGTCAGGCCTGCTAACTGAGGCACAGACGGGAGTGACTCCTGCTGGGTCCATTGACAAATGGTGCAGGTGACAAGAAGAAGGCAAAAAAAAGATGTGCCATGTTCACAGGGGTATGGCACTGTTCTGGGCCTGTGGCCAGGACCCCCTGAGCACGGGCCTGCCTTCTCAAACACCACTCCTCAGCCTTGGGTTCTGCCAGGATTTCAAGTCTCCTACCTGGATCCAGAAGCTCCCACAAAGGCACTTTTCTCCATGGATGGCTGCCAAATCATGGTTGCTGAGTGAGGACACGAGTGGGGGACCTCCTATTCCATCATCTTGCTGATGTCATTCGCCTGTTAAGTGATATTTAAAAATTTTAGGTAATGTATTTTGTTCTCGTATGGTTATTAATTTTTGTGTTCAACCTACGATGAATTTGTCTATTGCCAGGACATGAAGATGTTACTGTATTTTTTCTAGAACTCTTATGATTTTGACTTTTATATTTATGACTATGATTCAAATCAGATTGAGTTTTTCATGTGGGACGAGTCAGTGGTCAGTGGTCACTATTTCCAGACCACAGGCTTGTGATCCATTAAAGAAAAGCCAGTGACTATTTCAACAGAAAAGAATTTGGTAAAATTTCAGAACTTGTTTGTGATTTTGAAACAATCTCTCAGGAAACTGGAATCAAAGGGAAGTCCCATTCCCTGACGGAAGACAGGGAAATAAATAAATCATCAAAAATCATTATTCTAAGTCACTTTATATTAGAATTTCTCTATTTAAAACAGAGATAAAACAAACGTCACACATCAGAAGAAGCGATCTGTTAGAATTGCTGTGAGAGCAGCGTCCTTGGTCCTGCAGAGGACATTCTAGATTACGAGCTGCCCCACACGCAGGGACGTCCTTGTCTGTCACAGTTTTTAAATTCAATGATCATGAGGAATAGTCCTCCGGGCTCTCTAATGGGTCACATTTTTACAGATCGTCATAGTAAAGTTGTTCTGGAATTCAAATGCTATAAAATCTCTACTTACAACCCTTTATCCTAGATGTCTGACTCAGTCCAAGGATAATACTCCACCAACCAAATTGGAAATATGAAATGTTTAAATAAAAAGTAATAACACAATATACATCCACTTCTTTAGGGAATGTAAACAGGGTAAACTAATCAGAAAAACAAAATGATGCTAAGAATCATAACTGCATTCTCTGTTCAGTATTTCTATGCTTAAATTTTATCTAAGAGAATATGCACAATGGGGTCAGAATTAAGTGTGGAAGTTTCCTAGTAAATTATTATAATAAAAACAGGTATTTGCTCATCTCAGCATGGTCAGTATCTCCAGCAGGTGATGTGTGAGCCTGGTCCTGAAGGAAGGGGACAGCGGTGGGACAGGAGGACCAGAAGTACTAAAGGAGAAGGGGACACGGGGGTTCAGGGTTAAGCATCCTCTTAGCAAAGGGGCCCTACCTGTGCTTTTGTATAGGCTCCAGGGGAGAGGTGAGCCAAGAGGTCGGAAATAAAGATGGTCACATATACAGAGACTTTGAATGTGACACTCAACAGCTTTACATAATCTTGACAGTGAGAGAAATTGCGTGAACGTTTAAGCTGGGGGGTGCCTTTATCAGATACATGTGCTTGAAATATCGCTCTAAATCCAGAGTAAAGAATGGAATACAGTGGGCAAACTGTGGGATGAGGCCACACTGAGGGACTCTGCAAGGCTGGGGGAGCAGGGCTGGGCTCCTGCACATGGCACCTGGAATGGGGCAGAGCCATGTGCAGCTGAGGGGAGGCTGGGGACAGAGCACAGAGAATCTCAGTGTCCACGTCCTGAGGGAGATGAGGGGCTCTCAGCCAGCAGGAGCAGGCTCCAGATGCCCAGAGGAATTATGCGAGTCTATGCACTGCCTCTTTCTCCTGCTGGGATCTAACTTCCATGTGAATAGGAGTTTTCCCCTCTTAGGTCACTGCTGTATCTACAGAGCCCAGAAAACTGTGGCACAAAGGACAAACCCAGCAAGTGTTTGCTGAAAGAGTATTTGAATTCTCCTGAATTTCAAACCTTGTTGAAGAGCAGATCTGAGGCAAAGATAATGATTTCTGCTTTCTGGACATCTTGAGCCTGGAGTTCTGAGTCGAATTAAGAGTAGAGGTTAAGTAATAATGGTGATCTCATTGTCTATAGGACAGAAGAGAAACTCCCCCTTGACCCTGGGGACAGTGACCAGGGAGATGGACTGGGTTCCACGGCTTCACGCAGAGAAAGAGAAGGATGCGCTGGGCCTGCAGGGACTGAGGAAAAAACCATGGGGAGCAGGCGGATGGGGGAACAAACTGTGAGCACAGGAGACAAGCTCCATGAGCAAATAAACTGCAGAGTGTGGGTGAACTTGATAGAAGTCAAATAACATTCCACTTAAGAACATGTATGATAGACATTTTTTTTTAAGGATTGGCACCTGGGCTAACAACTGTTGCCAATCTTTTTTTTTTTTTCTGCCTTATTTCCCAAAACCCCCCGTACACAGTTGTATATCTTAGTTGCAGGTCCTTCTAGTTGTGGGATGTGAGACGTCGCCTCAACGTGGCCCGACGAGCTGTGCCATGTCCGCGCCCAGGATCCGAACACTGGGCCACTGCAGCGGAGCACGCGAACTTAACCACTCGGCCATGAAGCCGGCCCCTAATGATAGACATTTGTTAACAAGATGTTAAATATAGAGCTCATGATCCAGCACAAGATCAATGAAATTTTAATACTCAATTTTTTAACCCAAAATCCTATGAAGGACCCTAGTGGGAAAACCTGTGAAGAGAGGATGATGGGGTTGGTAAGCTGTGTGTCCATAGAAGAGATGATTCTGAACAGGGAGAGATGGATGACAGAAGCCAACAAATGAGGGTCTAAGACTTTCTCTGCCAGGTTGGACTTTACTCTAATACAAGATGGCGTGATGGGAGCTGCACAGCTCAAATATTAGGATTCATTGTGCTTCTTTGATTTCTCACTAGTACAGGCAATAGATTACCTAAAAATTGGAGTTTAAAACACAGATAAGGTTGTGTGAGATTATTTGGAATTCATTGCTTTATGCACAAGTGATGGAACACTGAACATGGATGCGCTCCCTAAACCACATTAAAATGAAGGGATATGATGTTTGCAACATCTTGTCTCATGGTTAAAACACTTTAAATTCCAATTTCTGTACATTTTTCCACCTTCCATGTGCACTGCCTTATGAGAGAGTGATACAAGAGTCATTGCCTCCAATGTATGTGAATGCCATTAACAGATGATCAGACCATGGATGTGTGAATAGAGACAGTGACCTGGTGAGCTGCAGAAACCAGCTGTGCTCTCAGGGCTTTGGCCCTGGTGAGGGGTGTGTCCTGTGACCAGGAGGGGGCGGTGCAGGACAGCCCTTTGGTCCCTACAAAGCTGCTCAGCAAGGACCATTCACTCAAAGGAGCCTGGGCCTGGGGGCTGGACCCTGTGCTTACTGAAGGAGGCTGAGCAGCTCTGTCCTCTCTGGCCTGGCAGAGTCCCCTGAGCAGGGACCTTTGTGTTGTCTCGGTAGGTGCTTCCTCCCAGGGCTCTCCCAAGGGGTGAGGCCAACCTCCATCCTCCTCAGTGTGTGGTGTGAGCTGAGCTCCAGCACCAGGGCTCAGGGAGGGGCTGGGCAGTCACTGGATGGAAACCCATTTTCATGGGCAGCCCCTACTATGGCACAGGGTGGAGACCATGGGGATGTGTGCACCATGGCCTGGTCTCCCCTCCTCCTTGTGCTCCTCTCTCACTGCACAGTTGGGGACAGGCTTTGGGGACAGAGGGAAGCCCCCAACATCACTTCTCCCTTGCTTAGACTTCTGAGAAATTTCCCATGATTCTTGCCCAGCAACCATGCCTGTCTGTGTCTGCAGGTTCCCTCTCCCAGCCTGTGCTGACTCAGCTGCCCTCCCTCTGCATCTCCTGGAAAAACAGCCAGACTCTCCTGGACCCTGACCTCTCGCTTCAGCGTTGACGATTACTGGATATGCTGGTACCAGAAGAAATCATGGAGACCGGGCAGAGAAAGGATCCTGTGGTGATGGAAATAAATGTCCTGTATCTTGACTGTATCAATGCTACTATCTTAATTATGGTATTGTACTATAGTTTAGAGAGATAGTACCATTCGGGGAACCAGGTAAAAGGTTGATGTAATTTCTCTGGGTTGTTTCTTACAACTTCCTGTGAATCTACAGTTATCTCAAAGTAAATAGATTAATTTTAAAAACTCAAAAGATGCAGGCAAAACCAGGGAAACAGATATGTCAGTTTGTCAGTTATGGCATGCGCCTTAGAACCCTGAAGTCATAACGGCCGGTGACCTTGACAACTTCAGAATTCTCAGGCTCCAGGGCCTAGTTTACAGTGCTCTGCCAAGTGCTGTAGACGTGCTCGATAGTCAGTGCCAAGAATTGAAGAAAACGGGATGTTTTCATCAATCAAAAAGCGCTTTGAGCTTTCAGGCCGTCCTTCAAGGCTTCACCTCCGCAGGTAGTCTTTGAATATACTACTTTTGATCGTCCAAAGGGACTAGCAGTCACAGGAAGTGTTCTGTTTTGTTTCTCCTAAAACATGGGAACTGATTCTTACCTTCAGCACTGCTTTCATGAAAAGCTCCTCATGTTCACAAGGTTCAGTGCTGCTGAGCACAGAAAGCAGGCTTTACATACTCAAGGGAGACCCTTTCTTGGCTCCATGAGAGAGAATTTTCTGCAGACCTATGACAATATCTCCCTATTCATGAAAGAGTTTTTGTGTCCTGTGAAATTTAGTTGTTTTACCTTTTATGACCAAAGAGTCATAGCTTAGAGCTTAGTTATAGCTCAACAAAAGAATATCTAAGACCCTGTTGTGTTTAGAAACTTTTTGATGTTTCCAGTATTATTTGCTGATCTTTGAGAATTTCCCCCCAAAACTTGAATACTGATTTAGATACGATTGGAGTCAATTTTCCAGAATCTTCAGTTATCTCAAGTTTTATGTTAACATGAAACTAAATTGTAATTACTTTTTCACAAATCTCTAGGTCACTTTATTTTATCTGTCTCAGGCCACAAATTGTCCTGGGTTTTGGGTTTTTTTTTTTTTTTTTTTTACCTTCTTGTAATATTCTCAACCTTTGGCTTCTTGGTTCTCCCCTTCCCAACAGCTCGTGGCCATCTTTGCTTTGCTGCTGTCCCCTTCTCCCCACCTCTAAGAGTTGGCATGCCCCGGGGCATGTCCTGGAAACCGTTCTCCATCTACCTCAACTCCCTGTGTGCCCTCATCTCTTTTAATAGCTTTCTGTAATTTGGTGACTTGAATTTGAGCTATAGAGTTCTGTTTTGGGGATCGAGGCTAATTTTTAGTGTCGTATTAACCTTGACCTTTGGCACAAAACTCTATCAGGTATTTGATGGGTGACTGGTTGTCCTGTGGTGTTTGTTGCATTGCAGGGAAAGCTCTTCTGTTGAGGTGGACACCCACAGTGAAAATGCTACGTCATCTGAGAGTGCCGGTCGCACCCTGCTGATCCACGGCCCCGTGGAACTCAGAAGAGGCTGGAGGAGGCAGAAGCGGCACCTCTTCTTGTTCAGCGATCTGTTGCTGATAGCTAACAAAAAGTATGTGTACGCTACAGGCTCCCCTGATTACCATCAGATTGCGTTTTCACTAACCTTTACTGTAGGAAAATATTCAGTGGTTTTCTTCTTTTGCTTTTGCAAATGTTTTGATCCTCCCTTTATTCAACAAGTATCGACAGAGGTCTTCTTCTGTGCCATGTCCCTGTAGAGAACACGATTGAGAATGTGACAGGCAGGGTCTCTCCTGCCTGGAGCTTCCGGACAGATGATAAAAATAAGAGGAGGGAAATTACACATTGAAGTTAGCGCTTCTCATAAGAGAGAGAAGAGGGTACCATGTGGAGAAGAAAATGGGACCATCCTAGAGAGGGGCTGTCTATGAAGGTCTCTCCGAGGTGGCAGCATTTAAACCAAACCTATGGGGTGAGAAGCAGCCGCATTCCTAGACTAGGTGGCTGAGCCTTCTAGGGTGAGGGACCAGCAGGACTCAGTGGGTGCAACTCAGCCCTCTGGAGGGAGGGGTTCAGGAAAGGCTGATGTGACTGGAGCCTGCAGTGTGGGGCGCAATATCAGGTAAGATACTGTGGTCAGGGGTCCAGCCACACAGGGTCTCCACAGGCCACAATAAGTGTTGAAATATTATGCTGAAGCGTATTTAATTAAGCAAGTGACCATATCTGGTTTATATTTTTAGCATATTGTTCTGCCTATTGGTAGATAGCAGATTGGTAGGTAAGCAAGAGTGGACACAGGGAGACTAGTTAGGGAGGCAGTGGTTCTGATGAAATATGACAAGAACTCCATCTTGGGAGTGGCAGTGAGAAGAGGCAGCAGACAGATTTGGAACATATGTTGGAGACAGAACCAAATGGATGCACTTTCTTCCCAACCCTGGACACAAATGTAACCAATATCCAGCCTAGAACATGGTAATTGCTCAATTAACGTCTAACGGTAGGTGGATGCAAGGTCATCTGTTTACTTTCTTCATCTCTGTTTTCATGATTTATGAAACACCATAAAAGACAAATAATATTTCACCAAACAAACTGTCAAGAAGCTTTTCATTACTAGAGAAAATGAAAACTCTTTTCTTGGCTGCCCTCACCGCTAGCTCTCAGTTAGTGACGCCATGTCATAGGTAAGACACGCAAGTACTGACTTTGCAAAATGCTATATTTAATCTGAGTGACGTTAATAATAAGAAGCATGATTTATCAGAAGTTTTTTCTGTCAGGAATTATGCTGAGGACTTTATGTACCGAATCTTGTCTGACCCTTGCAACTACCCAGTGAGATAGGCTCATTTTCCTTATCTTACGGAGGACCTGGATGCCCGGAGGTCTGCTGCCTTTCCCCAGGTCACCACCTTAGCACTTAGCGGAGTTCACGTTTGAAACTAGGTCTGTTCATTTCAGCACACAGGCTCTTACCCAACCTGTGGTGCTGCTGCCTCTATTCTCTCTTTTGTCTGGATTTCACAGAACACACCACAATCACCTAGTTTCTCTCTCATCCTTGAAACCAACCTTTCCTTTGTGGTGAGGAAATGGCTAACTCACATCCTGGTGAGAAATGGAACTGAGAAACAAATGAGAAGTCTAGCTATCAAAAAAAAAAAAATCAGAGGCCAAAATAAAGATGACAAAATATATTTAAGATGAGTGAAATTGCCTCCAGATGTAGGCTTGGAGATGGCGATGTCATAAAGAGGACAGAGAGAAAAAGATTCTGTCCAGGGCTTGGCATGAGGTCCATTCAAGGCACTCTGCTCCTGATAGAGGGAATGAGGCATTATTTTAAAAAGTGTAGACTAGTTACCAATCTCTTTATTTAAGCAAGGTTAGTATAGGAAACTGAAATTTCTTGGATGCATTCTTGGGACCACACGAGGAGCATCACAGATGGCTTGTTTAGTTTCCCCAATAGCCCTCCAAGGCAGGTACTGTTACCATCTCCAGGCTTCAGATAGGAAGACAAAGACTGAGGAAGGCTCAGGAACTGGCCCGATGTCATACACAGGAAAATGGTGGGAGAGACTGCACCGCAGGTCTGCCTTCATCCCAAGGCCATGCTCTTCCTGTCACACCATGTTGTATTCCTCCGTGCTCAACCTGAGACACACAAAAGCAAGCAACCACAACACTCATCTCCTGCTTGTCAGGACTTTGCAGACCACTCACATTCAATTTTTAAGGGGAATACTTTCTCCTTCACTTTTCTTTTCACCTTTGTAATTGTTACAGTATTTAGGAGAGTAGGAGACCTTTGTTTTCCTACCAGAAGCCACTTGTCTCAGCTACTGCTAACCTCTGAACGGGTCTGATAGAACCTACAGTACTCTGCTAAAAACATTTTATACTGATACAGTGTTCTTTTCTCCTAGCAAATTGCATCCATTTCAGAGCTGAATTTCTATTTTGGTTGGTCCATTATCACAGAAGATGCCCACCATCTTTCACATACTGCTTTTCAGAGAGCTCTCTGTGTCTGCTCAAGGGTTTCATGATGTGACACAATCTCCATCAATTTATTCAATAATATTCTTGTTTATGAGACTCAGTTCCTGAAAGATTACTTCTATATGCTTTCTACATCCATTGGGAATGTTGGAAAGTGTAGGTGATCTAAGGCATTTGATTTGCTTCAGAAGACCTTGATCTAGAGAGAGCAGAGATTTTTGATAAGGGAACTGTCTTCATCTGGTCAGGCTGCCAAAACCAAATACCATCGGCTGCTGGGCTTAAACCACAGAAACGTATTTACAGAGATTCATTTATTTATTATTAGTGTTTCCAGTGGCCCTCATGCCAAGCCCTGGACAGAGTCTTTTCCTCTCTGTCCTCTTTATGACATCACCATCTCCAAGGCTACACCTGGAGGCAATTTCACTCATCTTAAATATATTTTCTTATCTTTATTTTGGCCTCAGATTTTTTTTTTTGATAGCTAGACTTCTCATTTGTTTTTCAGTTCCCTGAGCATTCTGTTCCATTTCTCACCAGGTACCAAGCAGATGAAAGTTAGTCATTTCCTCACCACGCAGGAAAGAGATTTATTTATTTACAGTAATTCAGGCTGGAAGTCTGACATAAGGCTGTCAGCAGGGTCGGGTCCTCATGAGAGCTCCCCTCCCGGCTTGCAGATGGCCGCCTTCTCCCCATGGGCTTGCATGCCTCTCCTCAGTGCGTGCCTGTGGAGAAAGAGATCTCTCTCTTCCTCCCAATCCTATTGGATTAGGACCCCACTCTTATGACCTCATCTAACCTTAATTACCTCCTATAAGCTTTATCTCCCAAAACTGACATATTGGCTGTTAGGGCTTCAAGGTATGAATTGGGGGGTGGGGAGTGGGGTGGGAGTTGGGGACACTATTCAGTCCATAGCAGGAAGCAAGCAGTACTCAATGCTGCCACCTTGTACAAGAGTTTACCACAGCTTTTAGAAAGCTGGCTACTAGATCATTTCCATAGTAAACATTTGGGGATATTCGTGATTACTGTTCATATGAGAAAATTTATTTATTTTTTTCCCACAAAGAAACAACAACTACAATGAAATAGCCACCCGCAACAAGCTGCTTATTTCCTTTCTGTCATGCCTCGCTCTCAGATGGAGGATTGTGTAATGTCCTGGATCGATCTGTTCAAGTTTATCACCTGAGTTTAGTGCCTGCTTTTTCTACTCAGGGAAGGGGGTGGAGTGACTTAGGTTCCGTTTTTCCTCAGTGTGTCTTGAGGCTTCAGTTGGAAACTCTTTCTTCGCCAGGTTGATGCTACAGAAACCAACACAAAGGGAGTAAATAGTTGACTGACTGCTGCGTATATATTAGTCAGACTAAATGAACTTTAGTTTGTGTGTAATAATAAAGGGGATTTATATGTTCTTTCCTCATGAGGAAATTATATTTCTCCCGTTGTGCTGGATGTTAATAACAGTCAGTGGAAATTGTTTGGAGATTTTTTTCATTTTTTTCATACTACATTAGAAACTTCGGTTCTCAAGAATTAAAGTCAGATGGGAACTTTGTTAACATTTTTGATATTCATTAGAATGCTAAATAAGAAGTTATCTTTCAAATGAAATTATGACTTGTGTTTTTAAACAGCATCTACTTCATAAGATACTAATACTCGTAGAGGCCCATGGAGAACGTACAGAAAGGAAGAGACTGTACTTACTTAGCTCACACCCCCCTCAGACATCTCTGTCCTCATATTTAGTTATTAAAGAATATAGAAACAACGAAATCCAATTTTGTTTAGGTCAAAAGATGAAGATGACTATTAGCTTATTATCAGTGGCATTACAAAGATTCTTGCAGAAGATACCATGACCCCTACTCCCAGCATCTAAGGGAACACCTGTGCCTTAGAATGAGGGGAATCTCCCTAGAATCTGTGACTTTCCACAGTTCACCGGGGTTCACGCTCCCGTGTCCACGTTGAGGTAGAAGAAAGCAAGAGGGATACCATCATCTCAGCAGATCGATAGCGAGGGCCCACGCGGTAGAAATAAAAACTGCCTTTTTCCTCCTGCTCCCTTTGAGCCAGTTTCCATAAGGTTCATCCCTTCTCATTTCTACTGACATAATCTGAAGAGTCAGTCACTGAGAGCAGAGAAACGCGGTGAGATCTCAGGAGAATCCACTGTAGTACAAGCCTTTGCTGTAATACATTTTCAGGATTTCCAGGCTATCATTTAGCTTGGTTGATAGAATGTCAGGAGATTGATCCTCTCACTCTCAAACGAGAGAACAATGCCGTCAGAAAGCCTGATGGCTCTGGGGGGAGAAAGGAGGCTGAAGGTAGGAATGATGAGGAGGACACTACATGGAACTGTCCAGGTCAGCACTCATGGAGGCCGAGTGCTTGTGAGCATAGGCTCATGACTTAGGCTGTCTGGCTTCAAAGCCCATCTCTTGCTTTTGGCAATTTTCTTAATCTCTCTGTGAGTTTCCTCATCAATAAAATGGAGCTAATAGATATAGTGGATTGAGGATTAAGTGAAGTAATGTTTGTAAAATATGTAGAATAGTGCTTGGCATGTGGTGGGAGCTCAATAAATGTTATAGGAGACTGAAAACCGTACTCTGGGCTTTTGACAACTCCGTGGTTTGGTCTCAAGGAAGTGGATAATCTTGGGACTTTATGGAACTTTGGAGAGAATTAAAGAAATGACTCTTTCAGGTGCACATATTTGGAATTTTCAACACAGTACCTTAGCTGTCTCCACACATGGACATTACATGACAAAACTTTTAAAACCTGTAAAAACAAGTAGACATGTGTCTCTCTTTCCTATTGGCAGTAGATTATTTTTAGCTTCGTAATGCTTTTAGAATTATGATCTAGAACAATTATTTTATCTGAGAATTGATTGTGTTTCACACAAATCTTCAAATACATCAACATAGGGTAAAAATGTGAAATAAATGTCTAAGAAGCCACCTGTGTCACAAGGCGTATTTGCATCCACTGTACCCTAACGTTTGAATCTAGGTCATCCTTCAGGGAGGCTTCCTGCAGAATTATTTTCATTTCATAAATCCCGTTGAAGCCTTTTTGCTTTAACTGTCCCATGAGTCAGCAGAGTCTTAGGGGTTTTTGAACCTGAGGTGTCTTGGATCTCATTTTAGCTTTAACGTTTCCACATGTGGTTCTGAATAGGAGGCAATTCCGAAGTGGCATGCCCGTGTTCCCTAGGCATCCTTCAGAGGACTTGTACCGTCTAAATCTCAGGCTTGCCTGAGTGTTAAATTTGTGAGTTAACCGAGAGATATAGTGGTTTCCATGTCAGAGGTCAAAGGAGATTAGGAAGAAACTGTCGGAAAACCGTTTCACTGCTGACAAAGTCGATCACCTTCCGATTCCTCAGAGATAAATGGGAAACATCTCCATGACTCACATGTAAGACCTCATGGGCACTGATGTGGGACCAATTGATTGATTGGTTGAATTTTGAGCTCAGTCCGAGCGCTAACAGTTTTTCAGTTTGATCCGGAAACTGATAGAAAATGGTATGAATGAAATCTTAATAAAGGAAATTTAAAATAACCTATGCCTAAACGTTAGAAAATCTTTTAAAAAATTAAGGCTGAAAATGTATTTTAAATCCCTCTGATCCAAGCTTATTGCTGTTTTAGTCTAATTCTCAAGAAAAAAGTTGTATAATTATCTTTATAAATCATGTATCATGTATCTTTGTTCAGCTACTCAAAGGCTTTTTAAAGTAAGCAAGACATGAACACATAATTAATTATAGTAATAATAAATCCTTAAGTAAATAAAATGATATATGTGAATATAATAACAAATATAACAATAATAAATGAATAATAAATGAATTAATGGTTCTCTTAAAAAGCTCTAAAATGTCGAGTATGGTCCGTACTCAATACTCAACATGCAGAAAAATGGCTATTTGCTGCCACGGAGGAAGTGTTTTCAGGGCCTTCCTGGGCCAGGCGTCACTCAGCATACACTTTGTAAAGACCCATCCAACCCCTGACTGTGCGGAGCACAGAGGGTCACAGAGCTAAAGGAGGCACGTTGCACCCTGCGGCAGTGAGAACTGGCATCTTACCATGAGCACAGCTGTTCCCATAACATTTAAGAAACAAACTAACAGAGGTCTTGTTTGGTTATCTTTCTAGTTACAAAAAAAACTTTAAAATAAAAAATAAAGTACCCCTGAACACCATATGGATTGCCAACTGTTTGGACAAATTCGGAGAAGCCGACACCTCTGCCAAGAGGTCCTTTGTCTTGGGCTGGCCCACAGTGAACTTTGTGGCCACCTTCAGGTAAGACCTACAGCTTTTGTATTCAATGACTCCTTTTCTGACCTCTCATAATGACACTTGTATGTACTTTCCCCCAAAAGGTTTTTATGTGCAAATTGATTATGAACAGTGGGAACTATTGGAGTAATTTCCTTTCCTTTTTGGATGAGTGCTTTTTCAAATGGGCTCTAGGAGCTACTTGGGGAGGTGGATCTTCAGGGTACGTGGAGTAAGGTTTAAGGCCCCTCTCAACATCCTGCCCCTAATCCCCAGCGAGTAGCTGTGTTTTTAAATCACTGGAATATCTTCCGTGAGCAAGTACTATTAAATAGTCCAAGTCAGTTTGAAAAATTGCTTTTATACTCCCAAATTCATTCCCTGAAAAACAGTATTGAATTATACAAATAAAATTAATCATGTCATCAAATACTGGGTTGCCTGAATTGCTGTGTACATATTGTCTTATTTGGTGTCTATAGAGAGGTGACAATTCAAGACAAAGGTATGGTCCCAGAGTACAAATTAGTGTTCTGAGACATGTTCTTAGACTGGCACGAGGATGGGGAATGTGGCCCCCCGACCCTGGACATCCTGAGTCTACACTTCTGGGTTCACAGGGGTTCTTTTTAATATTTGAATAGCACTGCCAGCTGCAGGAACGCTCTGAGGTATAATTAACCCTTTTCCTGTTCTGGAAACTGAAACTCAGAGTGGCTAATTGATTTGCCCGTGATCACATAGCTTGCCTCACATAGTTGCAATTACGTGTGTAGATTTCAAACCAACTGCTCTCCCACTTTGCGATCTATTTCCCATCGCTGCAACACTGCTTGGAAAACAGCAGGGCCCATCAAATGCCCAACGATGAGGAGAGCACAACTGACACACGCATCCACGTCAGTGATAAACGGCTGCTGCTAGTTGCATCTGCAATGGCAGTTCTAATATCTTAGGATAAGTGTTTTATGTAGTTTAATTTTTTCTCCCTTTTTTTAAATTGCAGCTCTTCAGAACTAAAGGAAAAATGGCACTCTTCCCTTCAAAGGTATTTTTTCAGTATACATATTCTAAATCTTTGATCCACAATAAAAGATTGCAGATCTCTTCATAGTAGCGCCCTCGAACTATTCTCCCCCTCTCTAGTAGAAGCTGTCTGAGCATCCTCAAATAACTCCTTGTTTAGATTTACCCAGCTGCTACTCCAAAATTGTCCTCTCACTTACATGCATGTCTTGCTTATTTTTGAGGAAGTTCTGCTTGTCATTCTCATCTTCCCCTTCTCTCCAACCTAATGATTGGATCCAGTGTTACTCTCAAAACACACGCTCAATTTCCCTAAGTGCAGGTTACTCTACTGAGTGATTCTCAAAGCAGCTGCTACTTCCTACCCTTGAACCCAGGAAGGTGCTGGACCCTCCAACCAGGCAGGAAAGCTCTGAGGACTGGATCTACTGCAAAATCTCACACGACAGGGGCAACCCGTTATTTTCTGGGTCATGTCTTACTTTCATGAAGTGTTTTTGCATATTCTTCCAACTCATAATTTGGTTTTGCCGAGTCTATTTATATGCTTTCAAAAATAACCAAGTAGACTGAAAATATTAGCAGTATAGATTATTTGAAAAGAAGCTAATAGCTAATCCATCCTACTCTATTTTGGGTTATTATTGAATGTGATTAGGTGCATCAATCTAGCCAAAGAGAAGGACCAGCCAAAGAGCATTCCCCTCAAAATCGTCACTGAGGACATTAAGAACTGTGAATGTGTGAGTATTTTTAAGAGCAAAAATTAAATTAAATTCCAAGTTCTTTATTTGGGCAGAATGAAAGAGAAAGGCATAGACATAGACAGAGAGAGATGGAGGTAGAAACAGAGAGAGAGAGAGAGAAAGGGAGAGAGAAGGAAAGAAAAACAGGAAGGGGAGATGAGGAGGAGGGAGGGAGAAAGGAAGAGAGGGGAAGAGAAAGAGAGAATTGAGAAGGTACCAAGTGGAAAACTGTATTTTCCTGTATCCATACTGTGACATAAAACGTGAATCCCAGGTGATATGAAGCAAGAGGAATCTATGATGGCTTCACTGCTTAAGCATGGAAAGAATATTGCATGGTAAACGTTCCTAATGTTTCTCTGGATCCTGCTAATGGTAATTATAGTGGCTGGTTGTAATAAAGTGATTTTCACAACCAGGTATTTCCTATTAGAATGAAACGTTTTTTCCAATTGTTGCTACATGCAGAGTGGCCTGGCTTGTTTCCACAGTTTTTTTCTTCCTATGATGTTTTATTTGGAATAATTGTAAAGTTACAGAAAAGTTGCAAAAATACAAAAGGTATAAAGAACACCCATATACCCTTTAGCTAGATTCACCTATTTGGTTAACATTTTACTCCATTTGCTTTATCATTTATTTTGTTGTCTCTCTCTCCTTCTCCATATTGTGTATGAAGATACCTATTTTTGAGGGTCACACATACGTCGCGGTCCTTTATCTTAAACACTTGGGTATGTCCTAAGCATAGGGGCATTCCCTTCTATAACAGCATACAGTTATGGCCTTTAGTCCATTGAACATTGGTGTGATACTTGAGGCTGCCATTCATGTTCCCATTTTGCCGGCTGGCCTCAGTAATGTCCCTCTTCTAGGAGAGAATCTACTGGAGGGTCGGTATTAAAAATGCGGAGAAGTCTTGAAAGTCTTTCATTCTGAGGAATGTCAGCACTAATTGAACTGAAAAGGTTGAGACTTTTAAGAGATCAGTATATTTCTACCTTATTTTGTTGATGCCACTGGGGAAAAAAAACATTCACCTCAGTTGTTTCTATAGAATTTGATCTCTGAAACTGTAGTGCAGGAGCCAAGACATTGACCCTGAGGAGCAAATATTCTGGGTGTTTTTCATATCACTTTGTTCTGTTATCTGTTACGGGAGCTCTCGATCACACACGATAGTATGTGAAGGTGGAAAAAGAGGCAGTTTAAGACAGTTATTTCCTGGCCAGTAGGAAAGCCGTGCAAATATTCTGATCTGTTTCTGAGTATGCGAGAGATGCTCTGTTTGAGGAGATAAGACTGGAGAGTCCCCAGCCAAGCACACTGCCTGCTCTCCTTTCACTTAGGGCAGGGGTTGCAGTCAGAACTTTTCACGGAAAATCACCTTTAAATTTTTAAAAATCAACTTTAATTACATAAACGTTCCACAAAACAAACATTTCTAATGTTCTTCATTCATTCCCGAAGATCCAAATTTCCCTCTAATTCTATTTCTTTTCACCCTGGAGAAACTTTCCTTAGCATTTCTTGTTATGCAGATCTGGTGCCAACAGATTTTCTTAGTTTCTTTTATCTGAAAATGTCTTTATTTCACCTTCACTCTTGAAAGCTGTGTTTGCTGGATGTAGAATTTTGCCTGCAATTTTTTTCTTTCGGCGCTTTAAAGATGTTCCACTGTCTTTTGGTCTTTATGCTTCTGATGAGTTGTCTGTGATCATTCAAATATTAATCGTCTGCATATGATCTGTCATTTTTCTTCAGCTGCTTTCAAGATTTTTTCTTGATTTTTGGTTTTTAGCCATGTGGCTAAGTATCAGAGCATGGTTTTCCTTGAATCTGTTTTTTTGCCAAACAAAATCCTGTTTGGCATTTTCTAAACTTCTTGAGTTTTTAAATTTATGTTTTTATGAATGTAAATTATGTCTAAAGTTTGGGAAATTTTGGTCATTATTACCTCATTGTTTTTTCTCCCCCGTTTTCTCTCTTCTTTCTTTCTGAGATTCTAGTTACACGTATATCAGACACTTTGATGTTGTCCACAGGCCCCTCAGGTTCTGTTAATTTTTTCAATCTTCTTTTTTCCCCTTTCCTCTTCACATTGGATAATTTCTATTATCTATTTTCAAAATCATTTCCTCTTCCATTTGTCATCTTCATGATGCAATTTAGCCTGTGTAGTTTCAAATTTTTTTTCAGATTTCAGCTAAAAAATTTCTATTTTTCAATATTTTTAATGTCTATGCTGAGATTCCTATATTTTTGTTTATTATGACCATATTTTCATTTATATAATTGAGCATAATTGTAATAGCTGTCTTTGGCTAATAATGTGAATGTTTAGATCATCTCAGGGTTGTCCTCAACTCTTGAGAATTGATCACAGTTTCCTGCTTCTTCATATATCAAGTAACACTTTAGTTCTTATGAAAAAAACACATTTCCATTTTTTTCAAATTATTTGATGAAATAGTTTATTTTTTTTAAGGCGTTTGTTTGCAAAGAGCTGTCTACTGGAATTTATCTGTTTTGGAGAACAGACAACATGCAGGAAGAAATACACACATCCCTGGAATGACTATTTGGAACATAATATGTTCCTTATGCCATGAAAAACCGTTATCTTACAGACCAGATAAATTAGGGAGTGATGATTAGCATTTGAAAAGAGATTCTTTTACTTTAAAAAATCTTTTATGGGATAGCTGTTGATTGTATTGAAGGGACTTCAGACATCTTAAAAACAGCAGCACCCTTACTTCTGGTTAGATCCCGAGGGAAACTCCATGTTTGAATGCCCCAAGACACGTCAGCACAGGAAGCTCCCAGCATCCCTGCGTCTGGGCGCTCGGAGCTCTACCACTGGGTTCTGAAGCACTTTCTCATAATCCTTAGGACTACAAGTATTTGGAAATCAATGAATGCTTTCATTGATAGAAGTCCAATTATAAGCAAGTTTCAGGGCCATCTGTCATATCAAGCAATTGAATTCATACGAAGACAAATACAATGAAAGGACAAGGAATGAATTACGAAAGGATTCCTTTCGTTTTTAATGTCATCTTCAAGCCTCTGAGTGTCCCCTTATGCTGTCTGTCTTCTTTAAGCACCGTTGATTTAGGACAGGGGCCTTCCTGCCTGATAATACTCCGAAACTATGTGCGCAGTCAGTGTTCTTGGTTACCGTTTGTCTTCTTTGATAATGTCTTTTGGAATTCAGAGAGTTCGATAGATATCTCAGAATCCTATTAATCGCTTTCGGGTACTTTTCTGTAAACTGTCTTCTTATTCTAATGGAGCAGTTTCTCACTGTGAGGTGTGGCAGGGAGCTATTGTGAATACCCTAGTCACTGGCAGAGTTTGGAATGGAACTTGAGTTTCTCAAATTTTCAGTCTAATTTCCTGGACTCATTGGTTTCAGTTAATTGTCTCAACATATCTTGACAATGAAAGTTTAGTGTCCATCATGCCAAACACAAAGAAAGTACTCACTAAATAATAGCTTTTAAAAATGCCTTTTATAGCCAGTTCTGATTTTACCAACACCAAGTATGTAATTGCAAAGAAATAAAGCCATACTACAAAAGCACAACTCAGGAAGAGAAAGGGTCCAGCTCCTCCTTTTTAAACCACCCCCCCTCCATTACAGAAATAGCCACAAGGTGCTGAGGACCAGCCCATGGGCCTGCCCAGAATTCTCAGTCTTTCTCCTTCTTGCTTAAGCTGTTATGTTTTTTGTGCCACAAATCCTTTCAGAGAAATGTTTGATTTACTGAAATGCTTCCTACTAGCCTCATGTTATACAAAGGAATGAAAGTAAATGGTATTTAGGGGTTCGTGCTCTGCATGTGCTGTGCTGTGTCACTACCTGAAAACAAGCTTGCCTTTAGAATACAGATAGTAATTTGATAGAAATTATTTAAATTTTTAAAATTTAAATTATAGCAATTTTTCACATGTATTTTTTACAGTCTGTAACTGTAACAGTGACAAATTCGGATACAGTGAATAACATTATCAACATGTCACTACCAATGCTTGGAATAACTGTAAGTTACCTGCAAACTATTTTTACTTAAAAACCAACTTTAATTTTTGAGATTTGTGTGTGTGTGTGTTTGCATAATGCACCACCCATCATGACAAATGATAATTATGGATTTCAAAGTCATATTTTGTCCCCCTTCAAATTTGGAAATTGAAGGCTGCAAAGCTATATTATTAACCTATATATGGTTGCTATTCTTGTATTCCCATTTTAAATTTTGTGCAAATGGAAAGTAATAGCATAATGAAATTGAGCTATAATTTTAGAGTGCTAACAGCAACGTGCATGTTTATTGTATGTATTTTATACGTGGACAATCACATAAGATTCTAAATATTTCCTCCTCCGCTGGACTGTTCCTTCTGTATATTCTTTCCTGATTCCTCCCCTCCCATCGCCATTTGCCCTGGTTGTCAGTCAAGGACTCAATCTCAGTATGATGAACCCTAAATAACATGTTTTCTTGTGAACTTTGACATAAAGACCATCTGGCTACAGGCTCCATCCCAGTGATGCAGACCCTGAGGATGAGTTGGCTGATGCCCTTTGTGAATTGGTAAAGGAGGAGACAAGTTCTGAATGAGACCACGAATCCGGGGGCGTTTGTGTCCACATCACTTTCATCCTGTTCTGCTTTTAAGTGTCTGCTCTTTGATATTTTGATGGAGCCGGTGTGAGCTGTTGAAATTCTGTTTGGTGAGAGATACATATATTTGAGGACGAGGTTGTGTCAGGGAAAAGAGAGGGAGAGTAACATGCAGATGGACAGAAAACAAGGAAGCACTTGTAAAGCACGGCTCCTCAAATGAAATTCTCTGGAAATGTAAAAATGCCCTGCTACAGTGACAGGGCGTAATGCCAAGACTTGTATTTAAAATTGGCCTAACCCAATGGTATAATAAAGCCTCTTAAAAGCTAAGCGCAACCAGAATTTTCCATAAGGAGCCAATGATTTCTGTACAAACAGAATTAATAATAATACATTTTAAATGAATTGGAATTTATATGCATGAGTAAAGCACACTTCTGCATTGATTTCTAACCTAGAAGATATGTACACTTAAACCTTGGAAGAGAGTGAGTGTTTTTAGGGATGCGGTTAGGGAGATTGATTAATGATAGAGCTCATTTTATTTCATGATTGTAATTTTCCTTTGCGTAAAGTGATCAATCTCACTAGAGAAAAAATTTCTATTCTAACGAAGAGTTGAGCCTATTTGGCTATATATGTATGCCTGATTGAAGAGATTCCAACAGAGTGTTTCCAATCCCTACCTTAAAAGAAAAGGTTTTTATTAGCTCTCATTTCCTATTTGCAACACAATTTTGAGCAGATTTAGCTGTGCAGGCACGTGTGTGTGCTTGTGTATGTGTGTGTGATGGCTGCCATAGCTGGGACTCTCCTTCAGAAGGGCTAGACTGATTTTTAATCGGGAGTCAAGGGCAAGCATGGTACCTATCACCAACAATTCCGTTTCAAACATCTTTTGCTTTATCCTCTCTTGGAGACCTCTTTAAAGTAATTCAGCAGTCTTTATAATTTTGACTTGTTCGTTCCGAGTAGGCTTTACAGCATTACTGGCAACGATTCTGCTGGGAGTGGCTGTGCTCTGCATCTGACCTGTTCTCTCGGTTACAGTTCTTGTGGCTTCTTTCCCGCGTCTGCACCAGAGTCAGTGCGCTGACTTCGCTGGGCCATCTCCTCAAGGCCTCCTGGGCTTCCGCCTCCTTTAGCTCAGGGTTGCTGAGCCATCGAGGCCTTTCAAGCTTTACTTTCATGGAACAGTCATGGCAGGGTGTGTGGCTCTCTGGACAGCATGCTTGTCTGGGCAGGGACATTTGAAGGCAAAAGCCAACATTCTCCAAGGAGTTTGGAGATAGCAGAAGGCAGGACTCTCAAGATTAGACTTTTCCTCCTTAATAAAGGGGGCATAACTGTGATTTCTTTTGCTATCGGCCACGCCCAAATTGAGGGGCTGACTGCATTGTGGTTCCATAGATCCTTGGCCTTCATCAACAGGGACAAGAATCAGGGAGGGTCTATTGGAGGCTGTGAGAGGAATAAGGGGTTACTGAAATCGGCGCCATTGACTCCGAAAAACTGTAGCCACCCCCATTGACCAAATGGCATTTATACTGGCCTCAATTATTTCTTTTTGGAAGCAGAAATGCTAAGGAACTGGTACCTGCTGTGAAAGATTTTGTGTGACACATAGTTCTTTTTGTTTCCAAGGGCTCTGAGAAAGATTACCAGCTGTGGGTCAGTTCCGGCAAGAAAGAGGCCCCATGCCCACTCACTGGTAAGTGTCTGGGAACATCTCAGAGGGGGCTGATTGGGTGGAAAACTGCAACTCTGAAGTCTCAAAGGAACGGTTGCTCAGTCTCAAGCTCCAAGACCCTTAAAAGTGAAAATCTTATGCAATATTCCTTCCTAGATTTATTAAATAATTACTAAGCACTTACTCTATCCCAGGCACTGAGAACATCTCTTCATTCTGTGGCTTATGGTCTAGTTTGTGGGAAATGTGAGTTTTTCTTCTTTACTTTTTTACTTGACAAACAGAGCTGTCTTGAAAAACTTATACATACTGACTTCCTCAGGTATGATAGCAACCTGGATCAGAATTTCTTTTCCCATCTATTTATTTTTTTATATTCCACTCTTGAATTCCTCTGTTCCATTTCCTAACTACTAAGTAGCCTCTATTTTGTGAGAATCTTAAAAAATCCAGCCATACCTCTGAATCCAAGTACAAATATTTATTTAATACTTGCTCTGTGTCAGAAACTTTTCTCAGCATCATAAGAAAGATGAGATAATCGCAGTTAACTCCTCACATCTTCACTGACTAAACCACTGGTACTTTGCTGTTTCTCAGGCCGAGTTTTCTAGCATTGTTCTTGAGGTTATTGCTAAATCCATTACACCTCTCCTAAAATCGTTATTAGAGCAAGTGAGCTAAAAGAATAATAATAATTCTTGGATCAGCAAATTTGTTCAGTGTGGAAAATAGAGGGACTAAGACAAGGGAAGGGACAGGCTGTGTCGCAGACCTGGCAGGATGTCTTCTCAGCCTTCACGGAATTGAAGAGAGTGAGGACCTTGCTCTGGATGAGCTTGGGCTGAAGGGAGAGTTGTGGCTGGTTTGATCTTCTATCCAGACCACTAACACTGTCTCCCTGTCGGCAATAAGGCTGTTTTGCTTTCTTCTCATTCATGTGTTCACTGCAGGAGCACTTTGAATTTCCTTCAAGAACTTTTCTTTTGCGTTCATGACTTGGCTAACTCTCTGGTGCCAGAGGACTAGCTCTCAGCCGCCTCAGCTTTCGACATGGCTTCCTCAGGAAGCTTAATCATTTCTCACTTTTAATTTAAGGTGAGAGGCGTGTGACTCTTCCTCTCATTGAACACTTAGAGGCCATTGTAGGGTTACTAGCTGGCCTAATTTCCATATTGTCATGTCTCAGGAAACAGGGAGGCCTGAGGATATGGAGAGAGACGGGAATGTCAGCTCAGTGGAGAGGTCAGAACACACACACATTTATCCATTAAGGTCTCCACCTTAGATGGGCAGTGTTCATGGTGCCCCAAAACAATTACAATAGTACCATCAAAGACACTGATCACAGATCACCATCACAACTATAATAATCATGAAAAAGACTGGAATATTGCAAGAACTATCAAAATATGACACAGCGACATAAAGCGAGCAAACACCGTTGGAAACACGGTGCTGATCGATTTGCTTGACATAGGGTTGCCGGAAGTTCTCAATTTGTAAAAAGCTCAGTATCTGTGAAATGCAATTAAGGGAAGCACAATAAAACTAGGCATGCCTGTATTCTTCAAGAATGAAATCCACACCACACTGTTGGGGAAAAGCGCAATTCTCCACAGAGAACTCTATGGAGAGGAAGCAATTTCAAGCATGGAAGAGCAAAACAAATCACATGGCAGGCAACTCCCGGTGATGTTGGGGGCAGTTTTCCACTCTGTAAACACTGTTTTGCACTTTGCTTCTGGGTTTCCAACACCATGCAGCCTTCCCTCTGATGGCTGCCTGGCAGGGCCCTGGGAGGGTGGGCAGCCGTGGGAGGGCAGCTAAAGGCACAGAGCCCTGCTGCTCTTGAGGAGCCCTTGTCTTTAGAACTGACAAAAGGAAACAAAAAATCTGTGTTAAAATGACATTACGAGTGAGACAACAGTGATCACAGCAATTATGAACATATATGGTCCAATTCTTTAAAAACCCTTGACCACCAATGTTTATTAATATATTTTCCTTGATCCTTATAAGTCTGTGTGAGGGTAAGCATTTAAAAGGACGAATGTCAGGCTCAGAGAGGTCAAGTAATTTGCCTCAGATGTACAGATCTAGCTAGTGTCAAGGCAGAAACTAGAAGGCATTAAATATTCTCGGAGGGAAACACAGCAAAAGTCAACATTGTGCAATGCACTTACGGATCTATGCATTCCAAAGAAAGCAACGTGGTTCAAAATCTTTTTCTCTTTCCATTTTAAACTCTTTTGCTTGGGCACCTGCTTTTTGCAAGGTGTCCCCCGTGAGGGTGCACGTGGCGCTCGCTCGGGAGCACAGCCTTCTTCATCCAGAAGCTCGAGGAGAATGGCAGCACACACTGGTGTGGCCCACACGCTCACAGTAAGGAGGTTTGATCCTAACCCATCACCATCATCCTGATCCATAGTTAGATTTTTCTCCATATAGGACATGAGCATCCCTACGGAATTAAAATGAGCCATCGTCCAGCCACTGGGCTCCTGCCACAGGGACCAGAGGACTCCACCTTCCAGGAGTCCCCAGACACGCAAGGCCAATTCATTCTGAAGCCAAGGCACCCAGCCAGGAACCAGCAGAGGAAAGGTGAGCCCCTCCCCTCCGGCAAGCGCCTTCTCTTGGCTCATGTCTCCACTTCCCAAATGCGTGACACGGAGCTGATTTTCCATGTGTGGGTGGAGGGCCCGTGTGGACAGGAACCCAGTACCCACCCAGAATCAAGCTTAGAGAAACTCCAAAGGTCTGAAATCAAGACCCAGCTCAATTCTAGGAAGGTTTTTTTTTTTTTTTAATTACTCTAGGTAGACAGTTGCTCTCTTCTCTGTATCCCCAGAGCACTGTTGCCATATAGTTCTGTGTCTGCACATCCATGTGTCTTCTCAGAGCGGGTGCTTCTACAACCTGAGAACGTGCCTTCCCGATCTCAGGGATTTGTCCAGTATCTCAGTCTGTCACGGGAGGTGACCAAATGACCACATGGCTTAGACACACCTGGAATCAAAAACTCCAGTGGAGCGAAGAGTTATGGAATTGAACTGGACTCTCTTCTGGGCTTCGGCTGAAGTGGGCTTGGGATTCCAGAGAGAACTGGACTCTCAAGTCTGTTCCCACAGCAAGCTCGCTTTCCACGTCTGCTTCAGACCCAGGGCGAGACCAAAACTAGACTGAATGTTTACGGTCAGGGCTTTTTTATCTTCCTTCTTGTCATTTTTTCCCCTACCACTCCAATATTTTCCCATTGATATTTCTTTCTCTGAAGAAGACATTTTATTTATTTGGGAAGTATTTGAGCCAGAATAGAATTTCTACTTCAAAGTATTTTTATTATGATTGTTATTCTAGAAGGATAAAGTTTCAAAAAGTAATTTTTCAATACACACACCCTAATTGGAGCATGAGGAAACACTAACCTAAATCTTGCCAGGACTGTTTAAAACTAGCTAGGTTTTGGGGGCCAGCCCGGTGGTGTAGTGGTTAAGTTCAGTGCACTCCACTTCGGTGGCCCAGGGTTCGTGGGTTTGGATCCCAGGTGCTGACCTACAGCACTCATCAAGCCAAGTGGTGGAGGCAACCCACATACAAAATATAGGAAGATAGGCACAGATGTCAGCTCAGGGCCACTCTTCCTCAAGCAGAAAGGAGATTGGCAACAGATGTTAGCTCACTGTCTATACGTTCTGTCTATGCTCATAGAGTAGGTGAATATGTAGCTTTGTATCAAGGGATAGAGCACTCTTCTTCAGAGCATTCTTGTTTAAGCTGAATAATGGAATACATTTGGATAGTTTCAGAAATAATCAAATCAGGTTAAGAGTAGGAAAACCAGGTTGCATACAACAACTCAACCTATATTTGAACGTGTATCTGAGACAAACATTTGTACATGCAGACATATAGAAATCTTCTCCTGGAGTTAAGAATGTATTGGCTTTCTTCTCTCTCTTTAAAATGGTAGGGGTATGAATGCCAGGCAGGAGGAAGCCTTAGTTAGGGGAGTGGTGGCATTCCTTCATGACTGCTACCTTCTGGAGGCAGTGAAATCAAACGGAGAATGGGGGTGGGGTCTGCTTTGGGGGCAGGAGACAGATGTCTAGGCCTCCTTAGGCCCTCTGAGTGAGGGAGATGAGATTTATCAAGGCTGCTATGAGCCATGCCTTATGCTGAGCGGGACCTTCTAGTATTTAGTCCAAAGAGGTGTAGGTAGCATCATTTACATTAAAGTAGACCAAACCAAAGCTCAAAGAGTTTTGAGTAAACTTATCTGACTAAGCGGCAGAACCAGGAGCCTTCTGTTTCTCGGATCCTGCTCTCTCTGGTCCAGCCCCAGGAGCACTGCATCCACGTGAGTGGACGTGGAGATGCACTCACTCCTTCCCGGGAAGGCCGAGTGGTTGGGCGTTGAAGGCTACTTGGTGAAATGTTGCTTCACTGTTTATCCTTCTACAACTTGGCTCCTCTGTTGACATTTTTAGTATTCGGTATAAACATGTGATTTAAACAAATGTTAAGGTACCTTATTAGGTAAGCATTCATAGCTGAGCAGTAGAAACTTGGAACTCAGCTTTTCCCTGCTGATCGCCTTTCCTTTGAAAAGCATTCTTTTGACAGGGGCTGTTGGGTAATTAAAAATCATCTCTGGGTAGCTTTGTGGGGTGTCCGAAGAAACACAGCCACCTGGAATCTTACCACATAGCCAGCATTTAATGACTACTTCCCAAGGACCCTGACTGCTGATAGTCATCATGGAGCTGCCTGAGCGTTGTGGCCCCCGGAGCAGAGGTCAGAGGCCGGCTGAGAAGTGGGCTCAGGCAGGTTGTGTCTTGCAAGGCAGATCCTTTTGCTGAAAGAACGTTGACCATGGTTGGGCGTTCAGAAAGCAAACAGGGAATCTAAGAGTGGGAGGAGACTTACTATGAAAGTAGATGATTGCCAAACTCCGCTTGATTTGAAAACCAAACCTGGTTAGCTTTCGAAATGTGATCTGTCACCTGAATCCACTGTTCATACTAAACATCAGAAAACACGGACAAGTACAAGTGAAGTGTCTCATGCAACAGGCAGGAGAGAGCACTGCCTAGGAAGCATTTGCCCTGGAAGAAGTGACCCCCGAGTCTGAGCAAGCCTCTAGGTTTGCAGGATGAGTGGAAGAAGAGCACATTAACACCACAAGGATGCAGTTGGCCAATTTCCAAACGTGGGAAATTCTGTGCAAAAGCTGACTCAGCTCCTCTTTCTTCTTGCCATTGCAATGAATGTGCCATAAGTAAATTAAACTAACTACTACTGATAATCTCACTTCTTCTTTGGATTCAGGCCAGAAGTCAGTGAGAAGGAATTTTATGGGCAACTGGGCCCTCCGGCGCGGCTCCAGCGCCTGCCAGGACCTTCCGCACGTGACGCCATCATCCCCAAAGCCAGGGCAGCTCTTCGGCGTCAGCCTCGGGGATGTGTGCGAACGCGACAGCCTGCCCCCTTCTCTTCTGGTGGGTCTCATTTTGGGCTTCTGTGGCTTTCCTGAGGACAGAGAACTCTGAGAAGTCAAGTGTCTCGTTTAAATCTATCCCTAAAAGGAGAAATCTTTAGACAGCCGCTGGCTTTGGGGGAAAAGCTTTGCTAATATTACTTCAGAGAATAAAATGTGATTTAGGTACTGCAGAGTCCTAAAGCAAACACGACAAGGAAAAGATACCCTTGTCCATTCCATAGGTTTCAGCAAAGGCCCACATATGCCTGCTCAGATCAATGCAAATGGGCTCTATGTGGAGGAGTCTCCGAGAGTCCACCCCGTCTCATCTTCTCTGAACTCCACAGTAGTCTTCAGCTTCCTTCAGCTGAGTCTACTCAGTCTCACTTCTCAGAATCTCTCAGGTGACTTTGACCTGTATTTCCAGTGCTGAAGCATACAGACTCAGCCTCTGGCATATGTGGATTCTTTCATCCAAATAGAATGTGTCAAGTGACAGCCACAGAATTTGGCCTGTGTTAACTCAAATTGGTGTATGGAATTGTCACTGTCAACATTTATTGAGTGTCCAGTATCTCTCCAAGCACTCTACCAGATCTAGGGAATTTTAGGCTAACGATGAAGAAATGTGTCATGCCAGTCCCATGCTCCTACTACCTCAGTCCTTGCAAGTTTCACAGCAAATTTAGGGGGTAGCTATGATTATCATCATTCCCACTTCACAAACGAGAAAGAAAAAGTAACCTCACTAAAGTGTACACTGTGCCCAAGGCCACACAGCCAAGATGTAGCATCATAGGATTCGGGTCCCTTGGATTACCTGACTCCAATACCTAGAGCCTTTCTGCACCACAAGCAGAGGACATGAAGATGCAGCAAAAGGAAAGGAAAGAGTGATGAGAAGAGGATGTAATTAGAGGAGGAGGAGAGGGGTTTGGAGAGCCCGATTTTAAAAGAGGGAACGCAATCCAGGAAGTAGAAATGGGGTACGCAGCCCCTTAAAGGGGAACGAACAATGGGACACGGGTATGGCACGAAGATTTCCATAGCTGGGGAAGAGCAGCTATATTAGGGCACGATGAGGAAAGATTGGTGGAGTAGGAGCGGGTGATTCCACAAAGGCCTGGAAGCAGGGAAGTTTCATTCCAAAGTGTCAATTCACTGAAAAGGAAAATCTGACTTAATAACTGTTTGAAATGCTTCAGCATATGAATGTAGAAGGGATGGTTGGGTAGAAAATAGAGACACTGAGAAAAAAAATTCCACGTTTGCTTGCATGCCCCCACCTCCAGCGCTGCACCTCGCTTACCCCAGCTCAGTCAAGGGGGGAGCAGGTGCTCTGGGCTCCTGGATACGAGGTGCCATTGATTTTTCCTTTCTCTTCTCCCCTATAGGATATGCTTTGCTTTCTCAAGCAAAAAGGGCCGCTCACAGAGGGCATATTCAGAAAATCGGCCAATATAAAATCATGCAGAGCCCTAAAGGAGACATTAAATGCTGGGGACAAAGTGAACCTGGACTGTGAATCTGTTCTTGTGGTGGCATCTGTCTTAAAGGTAGGGAAACTTCTAGCATTATCCACACACAGCGTAACTCTGAAGGTACATGATCAATTTCCTTCACCGTGATTGCCCAGGAACCATAATAGGCATAATAGATTGAGAAACTGAAAAACACTTCACGAAGTCCAAATTTAAGGACGTGAGTTTGGGTGTTAAAAGCCCCAAATGTTAGATATACTTTCCTTTCTCATCACACACCGCCTTCTCCTTCTTCATTCCTGAACATTATCCCAGAATAATAATAATAAAAATCCTAAACACACACTTAGATATACAGAACATTTACCAGAACAAACATCCTGTTTTTGATGACTTCTTCACCATTGTCCTAATGAAAGCAAAGTTTACAAAAGAAAATTCGTATGAAACATTTGAAAATAGATAGAGAGGTTGACCGTAGTCAGTAAGCCAACATTTGTCATTCAATGAATCAAAAAATGCTCAATGAGTGACCAAAAGCTCCGTTCACTTCCTCATCCTCCTTTCGCCTGTCTCTTTTAATTGAAAAGTAGTGTAGGGGTGACTTCACTTTTTTTGCCTTCTTTCACCCTTACCAAATTTGGCATCCTTTATTAACGTTTGTTATGCTTAACCCACCACCCACGATTATGGTCACACAGTAACAAGCTCCTACCACATGCTTCTTATAAATCTGACTTTTAAAGTAGGTGCAGCAACGAAAATTTGTTTGGAATTCTGAAAATTCAATAGATTTATACAAAAAAGTTTTTTAAATGATACAGCTCAATCGCAAATATCCAGTTATGTTTCTATGAAGGGAATCATAGAACAGGGAAAGAATTGACTCAATCCATCTTGGTATTTGTTAACAGCTCTAAAGAGGAATGTCATAAGTAGAAATGACTACAATAGGTTATTAAAATTCTCTTATAATCGAGATTCCATTTGGTCTTTCCTTGTTCCCCATGATTGTTCAGCTCTGTCATATATAGGGACAGTTCAGAAGTGGCTTAGAGTCGAGCACTGTGACACTGGGATGATTAGAAATATACACTAGGCATGCAAATAGCAAGTTGAGTGTTGCCTTCTGTGAGGTGCACACCTGGAACTGATTTTCCAGCAAGAGTTAGAGTTGCCCATCAGCAGAGTCTTGCCTATCTGTCTGTTATAAGTACAGACTAGCAAGGGGGTGGCCACTCGTGGGTATAGTTCTTAGACATTCCTAAAGTTGACTGATCTTGGTGGGGAATCAGACTTTGCAACTTGGCTTTGATAATACCACGCCCAGTGAACTGGAGTGTTGACCTAAACCAGAAATGAGTACGTCATCAGGACCACATTGAGTCTGCCATTGAGCTGTCTAAAAATAGAGGTCCAGCAGTGAATACCCTTGGCATATTCTGCTCAGGTAATGTTCTGGCTTCACCACACTCAGCCTCACCAATGGGCTCCCACAGAACAGGGTTCAGGAAACAGAGAGGAGACACATGCTCCGAGTGCATGTAGTGTGGTACGCATGAGGCAAGGGCCCTCCTGCACGCTCCCAGACTCGAAGAGCCGGCCAGAGTTGGACTGCTTCCTCCCTCCAAATATATTGGAAGCACTCCATGGGAAACACGGTGAAAAGCACTAACTACCATGACTAGCTACAATACCATGGGTACCACACACCAATCAACATAGTCAAAGTGAGAGGACTGGGACTCTGTCCATTGGCTTCTCTGCTCTGTCCCCAGTGCTCACAACAGTGCCTGGCACTAACAGCAGCTCAATAGGTATTAGCATGAGTGAACCATCATTAGATTCTAATTAGGATAGTTGCCCTGAGGCACTTCTCGAGCAAGCCACCACTAAGAGAAGGCGTGTGCTGCTGAGTGAGAACAATGGAAGCTAGGTGTGCTTGGAAGTTAGCAAGACAATGTGACAACTTCCCCTCAGTCTTGCACAAACATTAAAGCTTCGTAAATTTTAATAGGCCCAATTCTACGATGTTAAACTTGTTCCTCAGCCCTCTAAAGTGACAGATGTTCCAGGCCTCCACTTAGGAAGCTGACATTTGTGCGTCTGTAGCCCTGATACTCAGAGGCCTGAAGTTGCGATGTATCTAAGTTTTTAGTAAGTTTCTTCTTTTGGAAGGATCTGTATGTCCCACTCACAGACTGTAAGGGGTAACACATTGTTACCCATTGGGGATTTTAATATATTTCCAATGTCTGCTGCTTCCCAGTCTGCAGGATCGAACGTTCATACAGTTAAAACCAGGATGAACGAGGCTATTGTGACGCAGTGTTCTCCCAAGGAGCACACATACCTCAAGTCAGAAGGCTCAGTTCTCTCTTAATATGTGTGCGAGAGCACGAGGGGGTGCGCGTTTGGTTTGTTTCGGAACTTCTCTTGCTTGAGTGAAGAGCAAGCACTGTGTCTCAGAGCGGGGATGGGTATTTCTTCTCAAGAAACTAGCAGGATTGAGGATGACGTCTTACCGGACCTTGTCAGTTTCCACTAGTTTACTAAAATGGACACCAAGAGGAAGTGCCAGGTGATAGAAGGGGGCTTTCTCTTCACTCCCACTGTGGCCCACTCTGCTTTGATGCTTCTAAGTTTTAGAAGTCGAAGCACCCACTTCAGGGTGTGCAAGTCAGTGGAGAGGTGGAGCTGAGCGCTGCGTGGGTCACAGTGTGGGGAGCCTGAGAAGGAAGTGGGGACAGAAACTCAACTTTTCAACTGCATGTTTTCCCTGTAATTTGTCCAATATGTATTTGCCATAAGAATAATACTCTTCTTTTGATGTGTGTAAGGATTTTCTTCGAAACATCCCAGGGAGCGTCTTTACATCTGACCTCTATGCTAAATGGGTCAGTATAACTGATGGAGAGAACGAGGAGGAGAAAATCGCTGCCACTCAGAGGTAACGATGCCATGATTACTCTACTGGGGCACACCTCCAAAGTACAATCAACATACTCTTAGGAAAATATTAGCTTATACTTTACAGCTTTGTCCACTAAAATAATGACCAATGCCAAAGAGTTTGATTTGACCACTCCCACGGAGGCCAGTTCAAAAACAGTGGCATGCCTTACTGCTCTTATTGAGTTCTTGTTCTTCTCCTAGTCTTGTTAATAAGGAATCCTTGACCATTTTCTACCTTCTGAATATGTTGTCGATGAGAATAATCCATAGCCAATCTCTAAATGAAAATGTGGGTGAGTTTATTCTGAGCTTAAATTTTAGGATTATAACCCGGGAGGTCTTTCCACAAAGGAACAGAGCACTCCAAAGTAGTGGGGGTACATAAGGTGGTTATATACCCTCAAAGAGGGTGTTTCACATGATTGAAATGTCCCTCCCACAATCGTCACAAGAGTGCCCTGTCGGCACAGCACTTGATAGACACAGCAGGTAGTGGGTCTGTTATCTCCAAGGGCGCAGCAGGAGGCAAGTCTATTGTCTCAAGCTGGGTGGTCACAGGTGAACGCAGCAGTGAGTTTCTAGCCTAAGGAAAGATGCTTAATCCTTAAGGAGACACCAACGTTGGGAGGGGGAGGGAAGTTGCAACTTTATCTCAAGGGCCTTTTGCTCTTGCCATAGGGAATCTCTAAAGCAGATATACAATGCATGCTCAACGGCGTTGGTCAGGCCCTTTTGGAAAGACAAGGTCAGGCCCGAATTAGGTTTACACCAAAATGGCTTCCTCATATATTCCAATATATCCTATTACTTGCCATTTTTATTTGACAATATGAAACTGAGAGCAGATGAAATCCTTTGGTCCAAGAGAGATGCTAAAGGACCAATCTGCCAGGGATATGGTCTTACCTTTGTCAAACACTTAACTAGCCAGAGAAGTTCTTATCTGGTTCAGGAACTGAACTCAATGAAACATTTTTGCCTGGAACTTTGCTGGGCTCTTACCCTGAGGCAGTGTTCCTATATTGCTACCTTCAAAACAAAGGGAGCCTTTCAAATTTCATCACTGTTTGGTTTAATCAATGAGATTTGTGAACTTGAATTGAAGAGTTTCTGCAATGTTTCAGAGTTTTAAAATATATTTAGATTAAATTCGATGTTAATAAGATGTGCCCAAATGAGAACACGTTCTAGGCGTTTCAGGGAAATATTTCAGGCAGCATGTTTAGGAGGGCCATTTCTGCATTCTCGTGCATGTTCACTGGGCTTTGTGCCTGCTCTACAAAGAAGTCCTCTGTTCCCTTTCTCTGTATTTCCAACTTCCTGAGCAAAATGACGTGCTGTCTTTAAAGGTCCATTTTTGTGTCTTTAGGCTTTTGGACGAGCTGCCCAGAGCCAATGCAGCGCTCCTGCGTTATCTTTTTGGAGTGCTGCACAACATTCAGCAGCATTCGTCCGTCAATCAGATGACAGCTTACAACTTAGCCACCTGCATAGCCCCAAGCATTCTTTGTTTGCCCAATGCCTGCAGCGCAGACTTCGAAAGTGACATCACAAGAAAGGTAATGAAAGCTCTCATTTGCGTGCCCTAGGGGTCAGAGTCCCCACTTGGAACCCAAAATGGACGGTGTTAACTCTGACAGACCAGTTTTTGAAAGTGTATCCGTTGAGTGGCAGAGTCATTTATCCTCCTCTGTGGGGATGGGAAGGAGGGTTGTTAAGGGGGAAGTGTGAGCAGTTGAGTCTCTCCTCCCTTCCTGTCCATGAGACTAAACTCTGGACCAACTGAACAGCAGAGAGAGGAGCGGCCCGACATGACAGAAGAGAACCTGGGCTTTGGAGTGTGACAAGCCAAGGTTCAACTCTCAGCCTAATCACCGAGGGATGTGTAACCCTGGGCAAAGTTTCCAAGCCATGGTTTCTTCATCACACGATGCCGACAACACCCAGCTCCTCTGGTCATTACTGGCACATCCTAGGCAGCTTGGGCAATATGAGCACCCATGGCTCCACACACTTTGACCTTCCTCTGCCAGCTGTGGCTCATTCAGAAAAATACTTGGCTACTATTTTGCCTCTGCTATAGGGTGAGGAAACTAGTAAAAGCTTCCAGAACATCCCATCAGAGCTACAACATGCCCAATAAGATCATAGCTGTTTCCCAAGAGAGTTTCCCAGAAAGTAAGGGTGGGGCAGGCAATGCAAGAGGAGGGGCTGCAGCCAGACAAACTGAATGGTGTCTCTCCAGCTGCTTTCTTCCCTCACAAAAACCCACAGAAATCTCTGCTGCCCAAGTTGAAGCAGCACCTAAACTTACAAATGAATTTCACGTATCCGTGTCTATTGGGTGCTTTATAAATTTTCCTAAGATGCGATATGTCTATTATATCTCAACAAAACTGGAAAAAATGTTTAATGAAAACGAACAGATAAAATTTCATAAGAGAGTATACATCTTCCCCCAAACATCCTATGTGGGTTACATTTGAAAATTGCCTTTGTTTTCAAGATGTAACCATTGATATAAAAATGTTAGCTTTTAAACTAGACCACAAATTATGCCTTTAGTCCACTGATGAAAAGTATTTTAAAACCTGTGCCCAAAGTACTCACGAAAGTATCACAGTTCGTTCTTAGAGAAAACTGGTTCTCTGAATTTTTCTTAGTATTCTTTCACAATTTTTGTTAGAGCCAAGATTCATGTATGAAATGTGATTTATAACTATGCCATATGAAAAAGAACACCCCGTTTTTACCCTTTTGTGTTGCAGATTTCTCTTGTGCAATTTTTGATTGAGAATTGCCTCCAGATCTTTGGAGAAGACATTGCTTCCCTCCTGGGGGAGAGCTCCATGCATTGCGATGGCAGCGAGAAGGCTGCAGATCCTTCGACTGACTTCGGAGAAGACATTGCTTCCCTCCTGGGGGAGAGCTCCATGCATTGTGATGGCAGCGAGAAGCCTGCAGATCCTTTGACTGACTTCGGAGAAGACATTGCTTCCCTCCTGGGGGAGAGCTCCATGCATTGTGATGGCAGCGAGAAGGCTGCAGATCCTTCGACTGACTTCGGAGAAGACATTGCTTCCCTCCTGGGGGAGAGCTCCATGCATTGTGATGGCAGCGAGAAGGCTGCAGATCCTTCGACTGACTTCGGTGAGAAACAGGCAGCGAGGCCGCCAGGGGTCATGGGAGATACCTAGACGGGGGATCCCAGAGCACATCCCAAGGGCAGTGATTCCCATCTGCTCCTCCTTCCACAGGCTGGCTCACAGGTCAGGCAGGGTTGCACACTGTTGTGAGACCAAAGAAAGAAGTCGAGGTCTCTGACTTCAAGAAGTTGCTGGTGCAGCTCGTAACAGCTTTAGGAGACATCATGGGATAATAGAGTGTCTGGGAACTTTTTCAAACAAAACTTCAAATCTATTATGTGTATAATAGACGTCCTCTGGTTGAAACCAGAGTGAGGGCCCCGAGGCGCTGCTGCTCAGTGGTCCCTGAAGCACCGAGGAATTCCAGTGCTCTTTGAAACAGATTAAGAGGAGCAGCATCATTGAGAAAAAAGGAGCTGACTTGATGTCAGACAACCTTTCAGAGTACTGCAGACTCCTGTGCTACCATTTCCTGGCTGTTTGATCTTTGGCCAATTATTCTAGCTCGTTCTCAGTTTCTTCATCTCTAAACTGTAGGGGGTAATAATGTTTAAATCTTAGGATTGTTGTAAAGATTAAATAAGATAATGGATGTAAAATAAATTTGTGAAAAAGTATTTAAGAAGGCTAGTAGAAGTGCCCCTGATGCTAGAGCTGGTATTATTGGCGCCTCGCTAATCACAGCTAACGGGCAGGAGTCCATTCTAGAAGGTAGAGTTTAGATTCAGAACCTGGGGGCCTGTATCATGAGCCCCTTCCTATTTTTGACATTTCTTGGTTTCAGACATTTACCTCAATGCTCTGAGGAAGTCTTTAGGAAAATCCATTTCATCGCAATGAGATGAGTCTAGTATCTGAGAATATGCTTATACTAAGACAATCGTTGGTTTTTCATTTCAGGAGTGTCAACCAAGCAACCTGTTGAATCCAAGCCAGTGAGAGTGATAGTGACTTACAAAAAGGCACAACTGCAGAATGACGCCGAGGCCCCTCGTGGCATGGGTCCACCCAGCTCCCTGTCTGCAATGCTTTCAGTCACTGAAGACTAGAGTCTCCATAATCATACTCGACCCTTTCTTTCCTTTCCTTCCTGTAATATCCCACCAAGAACACTTTCTCCAAAATTCTACTACCTCCGTTACGTTCTCATCATGTAGACGCCAGTCAGCTAATGCCCCCGAAATCATTTTCAGCCCCTTGTAACAAAAAAGTGTGTGGGGGTGGTGAATTTCTAGAAAAATACAGGGTCAGAAAAGGAAAGTTTTCGTAGCTCCTGGGAATCACCTCAGGACTCAAGAACAGTAATTCCTGAGCTTGAAGATTCCAGTCCTCAGTCACCACAGGGGCAGTAGATTACATGGAAGGATCCTCTCAGACATCTCAGGAAATAAGCTCCCAACGTGTCAGAGGCCAATTTTCACAAAGTTAAACACATGAATCTCACACACTAGAGTCTAAACTTGAGTCCAAATGTTATTCAACTCATCTTACTGAGGAGACCAGTAAGGTGGTAAAGAATGTTTTTGAGTATAGTACTTTTATGGCACCAAGCTGGGGCCAAAGAAGCAAATTTTCTTTGTTGGACATAAACAGTTAATGTTTTAAAGGGTAATCAATCTATAAGCTTTGAATTTATCTTCTCCTGTGACAAAAATCAAATTAACATTATTCTATTTTTACGAAACACAGTGAAGGACATCCAGATTTGGACTCCTCCATCTTACACTTCCCATGCAAGCTTTCCTGGAGGGGAATCTGTCCTCCCTCTGTCAACTGTCTCATCCACCCTTCACTTCTCACCCTGCTGACATGTGGCCTCTCCCTGTCTTCCTTTCCAGCAGCCTCAGTAGATCACATTCAACCGATGACCAAGCCCCTTCACCTGACAAACCAAAGCACATCTTCTGGGATTCCTAAGGCACTTGCCCTGCCAGGGTCTCGTAATTCCTGAATTCTAATCTCGTTTCACTGGTAGTTCACTTCTCCCAGGTCATGTGATTTATCTCTGTCTTCCTCTGTTTATATCGTTTCATGGACTTTTCTACATCTTCGCCTAAACCCGAGGACTCTTCACGTCATTCCCAGGTGCCCTCAGCTCTCGTGTTGCCTCTGATTCCCTGCTCTCCTATCATCCCACCAACCCTCATCCCATCACAGACCCATGAGTGCAGCAGTGTCCTCTCTGGCCTCCCTGTCTCCAGTGGTGAAGTTGGGGAAGGATGGCCCCATGTATGCCTCCCACCTTAATGTTCCTACTTCAGGGTAAGCTCCCTGAGCAGGGATGAGGCTGTCTAGCACAGCCTGGCATTCCACTGCCAACCACCAGACTCAACACCAGGTAGGTATTCAGTAAATATTGGCTATTGAAGACATACCCCTCACTATATAGGTCACGTGGTACTGCATCAGGATGAGGCCTGAACTGGGAGAGAGTCAGCTGTGCACATCTTCCTTTTTCTGTCCTGATCCTGAGAGCTGAGGGGGCATCAACCAGGGAGAGACCTGTGCATGGAATTCCTTCCTAAAGTGCACAGTATGGAAAGAGGGGGCAGTAACTTTGCAGTGGAGAAAAGTGACAAGCACTACCTTAGCCAGGCGATCAAGGTCAACGTCAACAGTCATACATCTAGTTAATAACAATGAACCTGTATAATTTCATCTGTTGTAACGAATATCCCCTATTGAGGTAAGATGCTAGTGATAGCAAACCAGAACAGAGGGGTATGGGAACTCTCTGTGCTGTCTTTCTTAAATTTTCTATCAATCTCAAAACTGTTCTAAAAAGTAAAGTCTATCTTTTAAAGAGTTCCAATTAAGTATAGATGAAAAATGGTATCTTGGGTTTTCTTTAATTGGACATGCTTTGTTTACTAATGCAGGGAAGTCTGTCCACATTTGGGTTGGCTACTTACATTTGTTCTTCTGTGGATTGCTGATTGTCATGTGCCCCTAAGGTTTATGGTTATCTGTTATGTGACATTAGTGTAGTCATAGCTCACTGACACAGTCTCATGAACTACCACAGCCCGAGGAAGTATTAACTGCCTGCTTTTCATTATCCAAATACCCATTTTACTGATGAAGAAATGGAGATTCAGAGAGGCTAAAAAATTGAACCAAGTCCACATTTAGTGTCACACCTAGACCTTGAACTCACATCTGTCTGACTCCAGAATTCCCTAAACACCACACTATACTGGGAAGTACCAAGTGTGTGACATTGGCAGGAGGAGGGGGGGATCCTGACAGCTGGCTGGGTGTCCAGTGACAAACTTTAATTCTGTATTTTAATGAAGTGATGACACCCCAACGGGGGGCACCATCCAGGCAAACTAGAAGTATGTAGGAAGTCCCTGAGTGGCTGCTGTGAGAAATGGCTCATGAGGGCAACGAGCTTTGTGTCCCAAGCAGAGGGACTAGAGTAGGTCACTCCAGATCTACTGAGAACAGCAAAATGGATCCTCTGTAGTCGCCCTCAGAAGAAATGCAACTTTCAGGGGCCAGCAGGGGACACAATCTCATGTCATACATCATCATAATTTAACGTTGGCACTGAAAACTGAAGCCAGGAAGGGGTATCGCCTCTCCTCAGAATTCTTAAACAGCATCCAAGCTGTGGGGGACCCCATTCACCAGCACTTGCTTCTCAGGTCTTGACCTCAAGAAATTGGGCAGAAATCCAAAGGCTCTGGACTCAAGGGAGGGGATTTGACCTCTGGCTTGGCTGCCTGTCTTGTACAACCTTGAGCAAATCAATTCACCACTGGGGTCCTTGCTTTGTTCATATCAAAACAGGAACCACTGCCCTACTGACCTCATAGAATTTTCCAGCAGATGAATAATAGTACTGATGGCTAACAGTTACTGCACAGTCGCTACAGACCGGTACTTTGCAGGCATCATCGCATTTAATACTCACAACAATCATGCTGGCCACGTACTTAAATTATCCTTATTTTATAGATTGGAAAACAGCTCCAGAGGAAGGATATCGCTTGTTTGAGGTCACCCGGTTTGCAAAGATGAAGTCAGAATTTAGAGCCCATGTTGTTCACCGATGAGTTACGTCACTAACCACGTTCCAAAGTGATGCGGATGGAAAGAATGCTGGTGCTTCAGAGTCCTGCGGCAACCTTGAGAAGCTGCAGAGGAGTGGACGACCACGAGCTGGGGCTTGGTATTTATGTCTGGGTGGATATGCAAGCCGAGGGGGTTTGGAGAAGAAAGATGCAGAGAGAAATGAGCTTGACTGGGGAAAACGAGCAGAGAGGGAGAAGAGAGAGTTGGGGCAGCTGCCAAAAGGAATGGAAATCTAGGACGACAGAGCTACTCAAAGGGGATTTTGAAGAAGCTTTGCTCTCGGGGGGACTTTGTGATAGCTGTTCTCTGGCCTCCACTAAACCTTCAGGAAGGTCCCTACTTTTCCTCAATGCCTTTAGAGGTGGATCCAGGGTTACTCATTGTACTGCTCACGGATGGCAGTGCTTCATTTTCATATTCCCACCTGCCTCAATACTTGTTATCCTACTGTTTCAAAATAGGAAAACCAACTCCTATCATAACCCCTAATGGGTTCTATCTAGTATCTCCTACAGGACTTAAGGGTAGTAATATTCTACAAAAATCAGTTGGTTTTCTAATTAATAACCAACAACAAGATTAAGAGGATATTAAGAAAGCAGTTCCATTTCCAAAAGCATCAAAAATAATAAAATAGAAAAGGCTGTAAACTGAAAAATACAAATATTACTGAAAAAAACTAATTTAAATAAGTGAAAGGGCAGCCATGTTCACGGATTGGATGACAATACTGTGCAGGTATCCATTAATACCACCCACATCGATCTCCACATTCAATGCCATCTCATTCAGTGCTCGCCTCCCTCAGGTCAATCCACAACGTCTACTGCTCTTCCCTGTGGTTCCTTGGTTGGGAAAGTGCTGGATAAACATCTGTTCTTTTGGATTCAGGTCCTAGACACCTAACACTCAATAATTCCATGGAGCTCTTAAAAAAGTCTTGATTAGGGCCCAGTACACTTCCAGTCACAGGCTGTGAGAGTTTTTAGTACAGCAATGGGGGAAGAGCCCTAAAACAGGGAGGAGGTTCCACTGTAGTAACGTTCCTCTTCCATCAGCCCTCACGCTGAGTAAAACTACAGAACTTGATTAAAAATATATTCGCTACATCAAACAGTCATATAAAGTAAGGCATTTATATTTCTTTTAAACTAATATGTGTATTATAAAATTACGTATAAAAACATAAATATATGTAATGTATTATATGGAGAGAACTTCGTATGTAGAATGCATTATAATGTATGAAATGCTATATATTGCATATTATGTGTTACATGTTGCCTATTATATATGTTGTATATTATATGTTACATATAGAGAGAGAGAAAAAGAAGAGAGGATGTAGGGCAATTTCTTTTTCCGATTCTAGGAAAATAATGAAACCCAAACCATCAGGAACAGTATCACTTGAGCAGAGCATAGGTGCAAGTATCATCCGTGTTATATGCAGAAACATTCACCTTGACCCCAGGGGGCATCTGGGCTGAGACTAGATGACTGAAATCTCTGGGCGATGGTGAACACAGAATTGGGGGACAGCAGATATGAAGACGCACTGAGCCACATGCCGGACGCCCCAAGCGCAGAGAGAGCTTGTGAGCTTCTAGCGGTGGAGACTTGGCACACTGCGGGAGAGGAAAATGAAGTTACTGGACCCACTGAAACGGGACTCATTGATCCTCTAGCCCATGGTGGGCAGTGTGCATCAGCGTGGTCCTTCAGACGTAAACAGCACAGCCCAGGGAAAGCTGTGACCTGGGTCAAGCAGCATCACCCAACAGCCTCCAGGGGGAGCTCCTCCCTGCGCTTTCCTGCTCTGTGAAGGGCCCCTGAGCCCCGGGTTCTTCTCCCATATCCAGCTTCCCAATCCCTCCATTCACCACTGGCTCTACACTTTCTCTATAGGAAGGAATGATTCTGACCCATGATGCCTTGAGAGTGTCTGAGACAGTTTCTGGGGTTGGGTCAGGGCTCCCTGCAGAGGTCAGGGGTCCTGGCTCATTACTATGGCCTCCCAACTTATTCGTGATGGAATATATAATAAATGCGTTAGCTCTAAAAATGTCAGAATTTTAGTGGCTATTTATAAGTAGTATGTCATTAGTCATTTATTTCTATATTTTACAGTGACTTAGGAAACCTGTTATTATTTGTGTTTTTCAGATAATTCAATTATTTTTTCTAATTCTTCCTTTTCCTCTTAAGTTTTAGATGCTCCTTCTCTTCAAATTTCGTGCTCATCAAAGTACATATTTTTCTGCACTGTATCAAAGAATCCTTTGTTTAATAGAAGACACAGAATAACTCAGTATGGACCTTTGTCTGAGGTGAGTTGGGGCTCTCAAATACAGATGACGGGAAAGGAAACAATAACCCTGCACATTTTATGAAACGATGTGCTAGCAATCCTGGAATGAACATAAAATCATATTTGATTTCACGCTGTGAGAACGCCAATGTGGTGGTTAAATTGCAAAGATTACTGGAGAAGTTTTGTCTTCCTCCTGCTCCTCTCTAATTCCAAATCCCCTCAGCTGCTCTGCCCGTTCCTTCTGCCCCAGATAGCACTACTGAGGGAAAAGGGCGTTTAAAATGCTGCATAATGTTCACACCAACTCGGTCAGACTCATTTCAGTGTCATTCTTTATATAATACGGTAAATAATATTCTTCTCATGATTCATTCCAGAGACATTGACGAACTCCACACAATGAAATGCCTAGACAGACAGTAACATAGGGACACAGGAAGTACTAGTTTGCAGTCTCCTGTACAACTAAGACTGAACAAATGTCACAGAGGACAGGAATGACCTTGGTGGTGGTCAATAGGGGGACCGCCTTATAACCATTTATTAAGCTCTGCCCGTATTTTGGTGCATATTTTCAAATTTATTTTGCATATATTTTTAAAGCATTTGTAATATATAAATATTGTTTTATGTAAAAACCGCAACAGAACCTGTCTCAGACCTGGTCAGTATCAGGATTCAAGTTACTGGGAGTTGTTCACTTGGTGAATTTAGAAAATCAGATGACAATTATTTGTTCTGTGGCCAGAGTTTCATTTGTCATCTGAGAGAGAGAGGCTGCATGGGGCTCACTCCATTTGGCCCAAACAGAAGTCTGCAGTCGCTTGTCAAATAAATGTCTTTATGTTGTTGCATATGCAAAATAGCCTTCTCTTTTCAGGCTGAGTAATATTTCTTGGCATTATCGTTATCTATTCATCTGTCGATGGACACTAAGCTGTTTCCATATCTTGGCTCTTGTGAACAAGGCTGCAGTCAACACAAGAATGCAGATGTCTCTTTGAGATTCTGATGTCAATTCTGGTGGATATATACCCCAAAGTGGGATCGCTGGATTGTGCTGAGTGAAAGAAGCCAGTCACAGAAGGACAAATATTGTGTGATTCCACTTATGCGAGCTATCTGAAATGGTTCAACTCACTATAGTTGACAACACTGCATTGTGTCATTGAAATTTGCGAAGAGAGAACTTAAATATGCTCGCAAGAAAAAGAGAGAAAGAGAAGAAAAGAGAAACCTGTGTGGTGACGGATGTGTTATTTATCCTGATGAGGGGAATCCTTTCGCAATGTATCAAATCAGGTCATTGTAAATAGGTAACACGTTGATTTGGCAGTAATGCCCTATTAAAACTGAAAAAGTACCCCCCAAACCAAAAAAGAAGAAAAAAATGTCAAACTCACAGAAATAGAGGAGAATGGTGATTGCCAGGAGCTGGGGGAAGAGGAAAGAGGGAGCTGCTGTCCGACAGGCACAAAGTTTCAGTCGTGCAAGATGAGTAAGTTCTAGAGAGCTGCTCACAGCCCTGTGCCCAGAGTTCCCGGTACTGCAGTGTGCGCTTATGACTTGGTTAAGTGGGCCGACCATAGGGTAAGGGTTCTTACCACAATAAAAAAAAAAACTGGGCAATTTCTGGTGATCACAAAATGCTTAGAGTATATAACTGAAGGAGTAGTACATGAAATATCAAACTTCAAAATTAGATAATTTCGAAGAAATGAAAACTAGAATTGTTTGACATTGAAAGAATTAATATCTCACTAAATGTATTCTCTGAAAAAGATGTACAGTGTTTATAAATGCAGCGTTGAGAGGATCTGATGGGGTGACATTTTAATAAACTACTTGACGTTTAGTGGATACTCAATAAATGTTCGTTCTCCTTTCATTTCTGGTAACTTTGGACCCAATTCCTTCCCAGAGGCATCAGAAGAGATCACATCCATGTGCTTAGAGAACGTCACGTGTGCTCTGCGTCCTCCACGTAGGCAGGGCGGGATGGCTGAAGTGGGCTGGAGTCCCCACAGGTAGGTGTGTCCCTGGTCAAACCTTAGCACGTCAGGTTCTAGTAAAATAGTTTCTCCTTAGAGCAGACTTTTTAAGAACAGAATGCTCTAGCATATTTCAAAATTGTTCCTTTTTTCTTTCCTCTGTGAGAAGCACAATATTTTTTCTCAGACATTCACTGTAAGAAACAGGTCCAGCTGCTGGAGGCAAAACTCACAAAAGTTTGGGCCCCTGTGACCAGGTCCTCCTGGAGTTTTAACTCTCTGAGGGTCCACACTTGTCCACACTGGGCCTCCTGCAGATTGTCCGTTACAGGTCAGGTTTCCGTGCCCCAGCACTGGTCCCCTCGGGGGCTCAGTTGGGATTCTCTGCGTTCACCTGTGAGTCTCCCCAATCTGGGGGCGGCAATTTGCCCTATGACCTCACTGCTCTTAGGAACCTAAGAACAGCTGGAGCCTTTTCAGTTTGTTCAGCTCTTTAGTGTTTGGGGATGGAGCGGAGACTTCCAGGCTCCTAACATCATGGACCAGAAGCCAGAAGTCAAGCCAACACCTTATTTGTTTTATTTATAGCTCTTCTAATTAATATGGACTGGACATATAATAAAGGGTCCATATTTGAAATGCATAATTTGATACCTTTTGACAATTTATACCCCTTTGAAAACATCAGCACAATCGAGAGAGTGAACATTTCCGCCCTGGCACAGTCTCCTCAGGCTCCTTGGGATCCCTCTCTCACCCCATCCCATCATTTCCTCCTCAGGCAGCAACGGAT